TACAGTCGTTACGAGTTGCAGCTGTTACAGAATAGGGTTATAAGCCCCCTATTCTGTAACTCACAGTAATGATATCGTCACATTGTCGTTGCGCAGGTTTTAATATGTGGTAAAGAAGCTGCGCAACGACAATGTAACGACACCGACACTGTCGTTAAAAGTTACGGAACACGGGTCTGCTTTACGAGAACTTATAAAAGAATTCTAAGAAGATTGTTTAAAATCTTCAAATTCAGATTTTATTAGATTTGAATTAAACGTTATAAATTATTAATAATAACAAGTTTTGACTAATCATTTACTTCAAATTTTACTTTCTTTTGTCATGGAATTCGTAATTCCAGCAGTATAACGTATGCAAACGAAAATTTAAATTGCAAATTTAAGAACGAATTAATTTCGGACACCGTTTTTTCGATTACGTCAAAAGGGAGCGATTATTATGTAATTGCAATAATTGCAATCGCGTCGCCCCCGACCATGCTGTTCCTTCCGGCCGGATTCTTGCATTCAACCAGTTGGGACGATAAGATCCGTAGGAATTCGCGACGTAACGCCTTATGTCTTGTCATTGAGAATCGTGGGGAAAAGGGAACCGTGGGGTGTTGGATCGAAGGAAGGGAAGCTAGTGCTTCAGCGGACACTTCGATGCACACCGGTGAGCAACGCCGTATGCGTTAATAATTCCCTCGTCTTTCTTTCGTTCCCTCACTTCGCTTTAGTGCGCGGTTGTGTTTAAAGAGGGTAAGACAAAGACCCTCAAATTCTCTCCCTCCTTTTCTTTCTCTGTCTATTCTCTTTCACTGCTTCCTTCCGCTTGTACACACGAAGCGCCTTTTCCATCTTTTCTTTACTTTACAAACATACTCAGTTTTACAAAAGTAAAAACATAACTTCTTTGTACGAACAATATTAATATTTAATTGACGTAAACGACGATTCTCTGCTTAGATCTATTGTATATTTTTCATGGATTATTTCACTTCAATTTACTTCACGTGCATTATGCGAAATCGACGTATTTTAATAAGGTAAATACAATGGACCTCCTTAAAAAAAAATAATTTAATTTTGATTTGTCAATCATCGATTTTATATGCAACAATCACACAATGCATGCGAAAGGCAATCTTTAGCAAGAAGTGCCGAATAGAGTTTTGCTAGCACATTGTAGAAATAGCAGAATCATTTACCGACAGGTCGATGCACACGAGTGAGCACGACGATCTGCGGAATACGAAATAGTTACGGAAACAGTAGCGCGTTATTTAGCTTTACAGGTTGCACATTCTCGTGCAGATGCAATAAAATTAGTTGGAAAGATGCTTGTGAGTTCTCGCAATAAACTTAAAACGTTCGGTCAATCAAATAAAAAAAAGTTTAAACAGTTTTTGCATGTATTTCTTATTGAAATCAATAATTTCATAAAGAAAAATTGAATCCTTTGTTTTAAAAAATTTAAATATAATTTAAAAGATATAATTTCCATAATAAGACGATATATAATTTCCAGAATTGTTATAAATAATATAAATAACATATTTTGAATTTGTAATATTCTAAATCGTATTTCCATGTCATTTTTAAAGTAAGTAAATCTAGTAACAAATCGAACGTCGCAATTTGTTTCTTGTCAGATAAAATGCAAATGTGTTGTGTTTTATGATATAAATAGAACTTAGACCTTAAAGTCAATTATTGAAAAAGGTTTATCTAAGTTTAAGCATCTTAAAATGATGATCGAACGTGTTAGCAATGTGTCCTTTCTCGGAACCGCGAGATTATCTACTTTTAATATTTGAGTTATGAATCATCGACGCACACATTTGCACGTGCGGAGTTCACAGAACGCGCCTTTTTTTCGCATTGTTATACATCCACCGACGGGAGCGAGAAAAGAGACAGTCGCGCATACATTGTTAAAGAATTCGTGCACGTGCGTGGGCGTGTCGTGTGCGTGGACAGCTTGGAATTCAAATCGAGCGCAAGAAAGAACTACGTTTGTTAAGCACGTTCGGCAACTCGACACGGTAGTTAAAAGCAATGAGAGGTCTATGAAAGTGAATTTCACGAAGAAGAGAGGAAAGGATACGTATCTTTTTACAGGAATGCATCAGTTTCTAGTACGTAAGATGTAAACAGAGGGAAAGAGAAATATTATACGTAACATTATGGCACGTTAAGAAAGTCTTCTTTCGTTTCTTTTTTAAAGAAATTCAAAATTTTATGTGTAAAATTAAAGCTTTATTAAACAGCATAATTTTTTTTATTACTTTTTGTCATCAAATCTTCGTTATTCTATTCTCATTAGAATAGTTAATTACATAATGTATTCGTAAAACAATAATAGCATTCACAGAATTAAAGAAATTAATTGGAAATTATATTTTAAATAAAAAAACTTTTATTGTGTGTGTGCAGACTCATAATGTTACAACTGCTACTATACGCATATTTACCCTCTATTATTTTATTTTTATGTATAAAATTATCCTACGATACTTTACATAATATAATATTTAAAAAGTGTCCTACTCAAATATGATATGTTACTGATTATTCAGCGGTAAAATAATATTCTAAATTTCACTGCAAAAGATTGAGAATTGTGCTAGTTTAGAAAAAGATTGAAAATATTTTCACTTTTGAACAAGAGTGGCAGATTTCGCTCTTTTGGAGTAAGATTTCACTCTTTTGCAGTGAAAGTCACTCCAAGAAATGAAGTCTTACTGTAAAAAAGGAGTGAGATTTCATTTGGAGTAATTCTCACTTCAAAAGAGTGAAATCTTATTCCAAAAAAGTGAAAATTTGCCACTCTTGTTCAAGAATGGAAAATTATCACTCTTGTTTCAAGACTGGCTCAATTTTCACTCCAAAAGATTTAGAGCGTATGTATAATTAAAATAGTATATTTACAATTTCGTTATTCAGTTTCCTTGATTCTCTCGTGTGAACAGTTGCAATAATGATTGACAATAATTACGCAGCAAACCTGTTACGAAAGCCATTTGCATATGATATTGACGACACCATTAACACCCACAACGTCCGTTACCTTTTCTGTTGGCGCTCGAACCTAGAATTATGCCGTTGCAAGTACAGGTTTATGCAACGGCATAATCGCATAATTCTAGATTCAAGCTCCATCAATTGAATTTCCCGATTTGCTCGATGCTATAAAGTATAGCAAAATATTCGATATCGGTTTTACATTATATAAAATAAAATTAAAGAGAAGCCTTTGAGAGTCAACAGAGGTTGTAAGTGTGTGATTACAAATACTTTATTAAAAAAAGATAAATATACGTTTCGATCCTAATTTGGATTCTCTTCAGTATAAACTTAATATTCACAGAAAAAAATAATCACAAAACAATCGTTAAGATATCGTTTATTTTATTGGAATATAATGAACAATCATTAACAAGATGTAGACGTGAGAATTAGCCACAATTGAATATTTGACTATGTTTACTCTCTTGCATCAATACTCTTAACGATTGTTACTCCGATATTCGTGACCATGTTTGCGATTATTTTTTTCTGTGAATATTAAGTTTATATACTGTGAAGAGGATCCAAATTAGGATCCAAATGTATATTTATCTTTTTTAAGAAAGTATATGTAATTCTCTTAGAGCATATACTACTGGAAAAGGAATTGCTTATGCTGGCCTGTATATCGAGGCCAACATCTGTGCGAGAGAGAAAGCTATAGAGTTCCAAATGTTCGCAATGCGCATGCGCAGCACCACGCAGCACCACCGTCTTACACATCTGTGTAATGTACGAATGTGTAAGAAACACTAAACCAACTGTACAATTCACACAGATAACGGTACTGCGCATGCGCATTGCGAACATTTGGGACTCTATAGCTTTCTCTCTCACACAGATGTTGGCTTTACGTTCAGCGCCCTATTTCTCTTCCAGTAGTATATGTTTTAAAACGTAATTATACACTCTTACAATCTGTGTTGGCTTTCAAAGATTTTTCTTTAACGTTTTGATTTACTCATTACAGCTTTTGTTTGAATTATTTATAAAATAAAAGCTTATATAGCAAGATGATTATGCTGCACTCTACACAACTCTACACTGTCAAATTTAATATCCTATAAAATCAAAAACCTTTATTAACTATTACGTAAACTAGTTATAGTGCGTACTATAAGGGCACTATTTCTTCTTTAAGAAGATAACGCCATTCAAAAAACGATTATCATAAATCGTATTGATAATGTATGTTCCGAACGAAGGATGAAATTTAACAAGTGCATTTAAAAAACTAGTGTTACAGATACTAAGTACTTGCAACATGTAAACTTCGTAAATAATCGATCTCAACTTTTTTTCGTGTATGTGTGTGTGTGTGTAAATGTTGTTATTGCAACAGTAATAGTAACGGAAGAATCGAAGTCGAATCGAGCTTAACAGAAAGGGTACAGTGTAGCATGAGTCCGTTAAGCAAACCGTGATAAAACGATCGGCGATAATGCACTCTGTGAATACTGCTTGAAGCGTTTTATGCATCCACTATATGTTTCATTCGACTTTCTGCATTCTTTCGAGATTGGTTGTTTCATCCCTTAAATGTTGTAATTTTTTATACATATATGCAGTCTTCAAAATCTTAGATATAAGAAGTGAAAAATCCACGTACCATTATTCTAAAATTACATTTACATTTGATTGCAAATTACATTCGTCTATTGATCTAATTAGTATTATATAAGCAAAGAGTATTGTAAAACTTATTTCTAAAAATAAAAAGTTAAAGAGTAGTACGGTCAAGATAGCGAAGACAGCGGAAAGAAACTCGCGTATTTTTTTTTAATGGATTAAATCATTGATTCGCGAGGAAATTTTTTATAATTTCTATGATAATGATCATAATATCTTACTCTACGATAACATAATTCAGTATAATTGTGACACATTATATGGCATCACAGAAGTGATACATATTCTATGTATACATGTTAAAATTTTGCGTTTGGTAATAAAATTAATTTTAATTTTGGTGTGCTAATAGACATGCTTAAGTTATTTTTGGATTGTCAGTGCCATTTTATATCCTTTTATCATGATATTATTGTAAATTTAAGTGGGCTTTATGAAAATATATATATTATCATGCAGATTTCATTATAAAGATACTATCATTTCTAAATTAAGCTAAATTTGTGGTTATTATTAGCTTACCGATATAGCGAATAATGAAACATTAGTTTTTGCCTGATATTCTTTTTGAATAAGAAACAGTCTCTTGTATTTTTGCAAATTGAATGATTTCGATGATGGGAACTAGAGAGCGACGAGTGGTGTGGCAGAATCTTGTACTCTTGTTGCCGTTTGCCGACACGATACTGAATGTTCGTTATCACGTGGTGAGCTCCAAGTAACGTTTATTTTCTATGGAACCATAACTATGAGAGTAGCGGCCGCTGTACGACGCCCTGGACCATGCACCGGCTCTATTCGAATAACTGTTACACACGATCAGCGAATTCATGCCGCCGGGCCTGTCGATCGGCACACCCTGGCCCCGTCCGTTCTGATGCAGACTGCTGCTACCGCCTAATCGGCCACTCTCCATCAGTGGTGTTCTGAGATTCTCGACTGTGGTGATTTCGATGTATGGCTTGGGTGCACGACTGCAGCTGCTCAGGAACACTGCAGTTATTACGCCCTGCGAAAAAAATAATGCAAGCAATTTTATTTATGGTTTAACCGAACAATTATACTGTTTGAAAATTCAAATTCAAGATATTCGTGCAGTTTGTAGATAATCAGATTGTTAGTTAATTCTTGAAATTCAAAAGTTTGATTTTCAGAGTTTATGATTATTCAAGTAAGACGAAATTTTATACTATTCTGTGCCTAGGCATCAATCTGATTGTGTGAGTATAATTTTGAATTCTTATGATTCTTTTTTTGCAAAGAAAGATCGCATTATGCCGGTGTGTAGTGTTTTTCTGTAGTGTTTTTTTTTGGACATCTCAAATTTAAACTAAAATCAATTTTTTGAATTGCAAGATATTCTACATATATACATATTGTAGGGGAAAGGGGGATAAGATGACGACTTTAAGGTTTGTCAATTTTTCCTAATTTCTGTGATGAAATAAAGAGACTGATTTATTTTTGATCAAGTTCACTACAGTCTTAGTTATCATTTGTAAAAATTGTAAAATTGTTAAATAAATTAAAATTCTTTAAAATTTATATTTTTTAAGGACATGTTAATTTCGTCATCTTGCCCCCATATGTGAGTAAAATGACTTAGTAGTGGATAAGATGGCGAAAAGTTAATTTAAGTTAAAAATATCCTTTTTATTAGTAAAAAAAGATTTATTATAATACATTTATATTGTTTTAATATATTATAAGAAGTTTTAGAGAAAAATATAAACAACATAAAACCTTTATATAAATAAAATTATTGAAACGTTAACGTTAACATAATTATATTTATGTATAATATGTACTGTATGTAATTACGTAATTAACTTATTAGTAAAATATACCTACTTACTACATAACCTACAATCTGCCTGCATGGGAGTGTAATTTTACCTATACACGACGTTCGTCATCTTATCCACAGTTACTGTATATTTTTATTTAATTAATAAAACCATTGTAATGCGAAAAATAAAAAACTATTAATATGTTATTATATTCGCTTTTAGTTATACAATATTCCATTTTTATTAAAAAAATGAAAGTATTTACTATAATTATGTCATTCCTTATATACAAATACTGCAAAATTACAAGTGAATGCATCCAAAACACATTTCTTAATATATTATTGTATCTATTTTTTTAATCGGATTGAATTCAAACTATAAGAGATTGTGTATTATTACCTAAAGCCTTTAATGAGTTAAGCATCTGCTTTTCATCTATTATTATCTTTAAAAAATTAACAATTCGTTATCTTACCCACTTCGTCATCTTACCCCTCTTTCTCCTACATAAAGTGAATTAGAAAACATACCACTAGCATGTGAAGTAACACTATAAACATAGAACCATTTCTAAAACCGGTGTTATCCAGTAGAATCCCAGCGATGCTGGGACCGATGAAAGCTCCGAGAGCAAACGTACTTGTCCACAATCCGCTGATGAGGCCATAAGTTTCAAGATTATTTGGAAATCCAAATGATCTTAACATGGAACACGAATTAAAAGCATTATTGATTTTAGCTCAGGAAAATTAAATTTTTTTTGCGTTTTGGAGGCAAAATTACTATAAAAGATTTATTTGCGGGAAGTTGTTCGAAATGATGAAGAGAACTTTTAATATGTTGTATAATACGTCATTTCAAACAATTTCCCGCAAACAAATCTTTTATGGCAATTTTACCTCCAAAAAATCTAATTTTCCTGGGCTATTTGTATGTTAGAAGTTCATTAATTTATAAATTAAACTGCAATAATTGACTTGCGAATTGTGCGAAAATAATTGAAATTCACAAGTTCAGAATTATTCTTTTGTACGACTTACATAGATGTCCGTAAGGCATCCGTGAAGCTTGCAACCAGTTGAGCAGCCATGCCTAAGCCATGGATCATAAGGCCGCTGATAGGCATCCAGATTACGATTGCCGACGGAATGAACGGCGCTGGACCGACCAGTGAGAAACCGATCATTACAAGAAAGCAGCCGGCAATGGTTGCTACCTGAAGTAAAGAGTGTTATGTCTTTTTTGCGTTGATATATATTTACAATGATATCTCTTAAATCTCAAATCTGTTATAATGCCTTGGGGAGACTAACTCGAGATTACGTTTGGAATTATTTGTGATGTAATTTATGGAGATAATTCAATTGAAAGTTGGAATTCTATATAGAATTATGTAATGATCTATTTTCTTATAATAAGAAATTACCTTTGGGTGCCAGTAATTGTCGCAAAGCCAGCCCCATGCAGGCGCAGCTAGCGCGTAGGTACCGCCGTTAATCACAAACATCAATCCTAACACGACTGGGCTTAAGTTGAATTGCCTCAGATGCGGTTCTAATGTCGCTTGTAAAAATCCGATGCTCATGCTCGTTGCGATTATTGACATGGAGGCGATCATCACGCCGGGAATTTTTAAGACTTTCATTACTCCTACAAATTGTAACGAATAATGTATTGTATGTAAAATCAATAGGGTTACGATTACATGATTTAAATATCCGTTCGAACGAACAGTACCTCCAGTGCTGTGTGCATCATTATCGTTGTTATTATGTACGGGTAAAATGAAAGCAGTACTAACTGCTGCCACAAACAATGCTGAGCCAAGTACCGCGAATGGTGTAGTATATCCACCTATCTAATATATCCAATATAATATTATAATAATTTTAATATCTATTAACGTTATTGGCATTTAGACAAAAATATCGCATGTACTGTAATTAACGTGTTATTTTACGAATGTGTATAAAATGTAGAGATCTTTGTTTAAAATATAAGCGAGAGAAGAGCCTTAAGCAAAAATCAGTAGGTCTGTTCTTTTTAGCTTAAGTTCTTGCACTGTTCATCTTTTCTCTTTTTTTCTCTAATGTGGAGAGAAAAAGAAGAAAGATGAACCGTGTAAGAACTTTAGCTAAAAAGAACGGGCTGAATAAGAATATGTTACCTGATAGAGTGCACCTCCAACAGTAGGACCTACGATGAGACCCAAGCCGAAGAAAGTTTCCAAACTGGCAAACGTCGTAGCAACATTGTTGGGGAATTCTTTGGCGATAATGGCAAAACTAGCTGTTAGAAATGCAGCATTTCCCATTGCCTCCACAATTCTAATCACGAAGGACAGGATTATGAAAGGATAATGACCGTTGACTTTGTCCAATAAACCAAAAAATATGGCGCAAGTTCCTGTAGTCAGGATACCGCCATTGAACAGTAATTTTGGACCAATTCGATTGAGCTGCGAAAGACAGTAAATTAAATTTAAAAGTTGTGATAAATAATAATCTTTTTAAGGATATGTAATCTTTACGTATATAAGGATTAGTATATAAACATATACTAATCAAATAATAAAAAAATATTTATGCAAATGTTTATTTAGATTCACTTATTTGTTTAAAAGTTATTGATCTAAAACTACAGAAAAATAAGTCATTTTGCTGTATAGAACCATTATAAATAAAATTATTTATTGTTTTGTTTTTTGCAGTTGATTTCAGAGCATATTCGGGCTAATATCATCAAAATATTTTGATATTAACTTATTTTGACTGATTGTTTGACTGATATTTTTAGTTGATAATTGTATAGTCAAAACATTCTTAAATAATATGTTAAGAAAATATTGATTCCAAATTGACGAAAGAATATATTAATGGAAATGAAACGTTTTCCTTACAAAGTTTTATTTTTATAATAAAATATTCTTGTAAATATACTCTCTCTCTTCACATTCTTCAATTGTAAACTTTATAAATTTTAAAAGTAATGCAACTTGTATATATATATATTACATTTTGATTAAAAATTTAATTTAAACAAAATATTATAAATGTTTTAAAATATAATTTTTTTTCTTGATTGTCTTTTAAACAAGAATGTTTTCTTAAGATGTGATTTTCGTAAAACAATTCACTAAAATATCTATGTAATTTAAATTAATTCGACTAATGCAGTATTTGGTGCAAGGATCTCGTGTTGTCCTATCAAGATTGACTTAAACATTTTATTCTTTGGATTCTGTCTGACGAAATTTACAAAGACATGGTAGGAGGATCGTTGAGCCAAACAACATTCAACAAAATAAAAAGACATTCTGCATTAGAATTGACCAACAATTGTAAGATGTCTCGTTATATCTCTAATTTTCTAATCTAATTAAAAAATGTAAATTAAGTTTTCATAAGTAACTGCGTTTTTGTAGACTTTCTAAATCCAATTTTACTGATAATTTCTAGAATTCGTTATTTGTATTTCATTGATAATGACCTCAATTGTAGGTCGAAACGTTTCTATTATTTTATTTTTTATACCGATTATATTAAATTGATGTATTAGGCTTATTACTCTTGAATTTATTAAATTGATTGTATATCATCTGAGCCGTTTTATAATATTGACGTATAATTTTTTTTATTGAAAATATTTGTAAATTTTGAATTATTTTTTATGCTAAAAAAACGTATGAAAATATACAATATTGAATAGTAATTTATAAATATCCGCACGTATAGCAATAGGTGAGCCTGAAAACTGGCAAGATCCAGCGCTTCGTGTTGCAACCTTAATCATTACATAGGTTGACTTGCGATTCGAATTTCATGTACTTGTAAGATTTATAGCGCTTATTTTTATCATTTTTCTTATTTCGTAATATTTATTTCTTCAGTATTTTATCTGCAGTGATAGCCATATTATTTGTAACAGATATTTTATCACAGAATACATAAGGCACAAATGAATGAAAATTTACGGCCGAATTGAAAACTAAAAGAATAATCTATAACTTATACAGATAATTATAGACGGATAAATTTTTTATTACTTAGCTTTATCTATTTAATGTGATAATTTGATTTATGGCGTAAAATTCATGTCGTGACATTGAAAATGCATCTTATGTCATCACTCACATGTTGTCCATAAATTGGGCTAATAATGAAAACCACCAGTTCAAAAATCCCGAAGACCAGTCCATACTCTGATGGCGACGCTCCTTTTTTTTCGGCCTATGAAAAAGGAATGTTTTTGTCAATTACATTTGCACGATATATGCATGCTATATATTAATTCGTTAATATTTCGAGCCGTTCGAAATATTGGCAACTCGAAGATACATTGAGCTACGCAGCCGTTTTGTCGACTATCGCGTCGCACTGCAATTAATACTTGTCGAGATAATATCCCGATAAACTTTAGAGTTTTGCTCCACGCGTCGAGACTATACATGTACAAACTAAATTATCGAATGTCGCCGTTTGTCTTGCGATAGATGAACAACATCTTCGCACACGTGTATCATTCGTAGACATGCATTTGACACGTGTTTTTTTTGAAAATTTGTTTAAATTTGTGAGAGAGTTATTAATTTTTTGATACTTGTTGCGATTTACGGAATGGTGTGTTTAATCTTTTATGTAATTTTCCCCTTTTTATTTCATAATTTATTGCACATTTACAATCGCGCATTCAGTATTATTAAAGAAGACTTAAAAATGAAAATAAATAAAGATTATTAATTTATTAAATAAATGATAAGAAGAATTAGACAGTTCTCCCGGACTATATATTATTATACAATAAAGAAACAAATTACAATATAGACTTGTTTGCTGAGAGGTTTCATTTTCAACTCTTTTCCTTATTATTGGTTTGTAAGATAAGTACGTAATGAACTTTTAACTTATATATAGTCGCAAATAGATTCTGACGTGCTATAACGCACGCAATCCGATAAAAATTGCTTTTATGGACATCCATTTCTTCTTATCACAGAAAACATGACGTATTAAGATTTTGTATTTCTTTAATTTATTATTGCGCGCGCGATGCGATATAGATTCTACTATTAAGAAAGAAATTAATTCATCCTGCCAGACTCTTCGACTTATCGAGAAGATTCCTTCAACGTATTTTAACCTTTGTACTGTTGAAAAAAATGATCTGAACTCAAACAAGACAATTCGGCTTCCAAAAATGGTTCAAATATTGTAAAAATGTCGTAATATTTCATTGACTTCTACCAATTAATTGTTTTATTATGTCTAATATTTCAATTATTGCAATTTTTATTAAATTCGTTTAAAATTTAATGATATAAGATACACGTATATATATTAAAATGTATATATATGGTATCCGGTAAGTTTTGACAAAGCACTCGTGAGCAGATAGAGCAAACTAAACTGAATTGAAAAGTCCTCTACCATTTTGCAATTTTCACAACAAGATATTAATTACTAAATATTGTTGAATATTAGTCTTCAATAATTTTTTATTTAACTACTATATACTGTTAACTTTACAAAAAAACAGTAAGAGACAAAAATTGTTTATTTTCTTCTCATAGAGTTCTGAGAATTTTTTCAGAATTTTTTAGTATCGCATTTTCTGATGTTGATAAAAATAGTTACCAATAAGAAAATGCAGTGCTAAAAAGTTGATAAAAAATTCTGAAAAAATTCTTGGAGCTCTATAAGAAAAAAATAAACAATTTTTGTCTTTTGCCGTTTTTCTATAAAATTGATAGTACTTGAGTAAAAAATTATTGAAAACTAATATTCGATGATTGTTAGTAATTAATATTTTGTTATAATTCTCTTGCGAAAATTGCAAAATGGTAGAGGTCTTTTCAACTCACAATCAGTTGAGTCCGCTCTATCTCACGAAAACTTTGACAGAAACTTACCGGATACCCTGTTTACATATATTTCGTATGTTCATATATTCTATATTATGTTACAATTTACATCATATTTTTATATATCATTCAATAATTTATAATTTAATAAATGGAATGCGATATAAAAAAGCCATGGAAAGTGAAAAATAATGCGATAAAGATTGAAAATGCTAAGGCCTGATTGCACCAACGTTACTTTAATTTTAAGCGTGACTTAAAACTCTCTCCCTTTCTGTCTCTCTATCGATTTTAAAAAAAGAAAGAGAAATTTTTAAGCTTCGCTTAAAATTAAAACAACGTTGATGCAATCGGGCCCAAATGTACTAAATTGATGAAAGATTCAAAGTGTGAGAGAATTATCTACATTCGGCTTTAAAAACCTCCGTTGTTAATGAAATGCTATTTTTATACGATATAAAATCTTCTTTTCTGAAACACGATAAATCATATACTTACATATTCTTTTGTATTTTCAAATTCAAAAGAAATATTTATGTATTCTATTTTTGATGACTTCTTGCATAAATTACAAGGACAGCAAGATTACAGTTCAATTTGTAAATACTTCGGCCACCACGTTTGAAATTCGTATCTTATCGACAATAACATAAATTAAAATCTCTTTTAATTCATAAATTACGAAGTAGACTATTTACTTTTAGTGGTACCATAAGTCAGTGATAATAATTTTGTTATGTCTATAAACGCATGCAGTTTAAACATCTTTATCAGTTGAAATTGCGCGAAAGAAACTTAAAGATCGAGAGATCTTTCAAATGATATTTTAAATAAAAATTACGATTATCGTTAGTTTCTATCTTGGCGAAAACAAACATTTTACGAAAAAATACAGAAAAACTACATATTTAGACAAGATCTTGGAAATTCTTAATTTTTCGTAAATATTCGATATTTATAGTGAGACATAGAATGAGATTTGTTTGTTTTAGAAATTCTTGGTTTTTCATAAATATTCGCATTGGGACGTAGAGTGGCGCTGTTTGAAGATGAAGGATTTCTTGGTTTTTCAAACAAACAAAACTACTCTACACGTCCCACTATAAATATCTGTAAAAAACTAAAAATTTCTAAGATCTTGTTTAAATATATCTATAGCTTCCCTTAAAAATTTTTCCTCTAAATATATTGTAGATATACGTCTCACTAATGCAATTTCCTTGAAGAATCTATAATTGTCGATCCTTACTTCTTGAGGGTAAAACGGTGCTTGCAGTGAGACGCAAATGGCATTTGCGAAATCGGCGATACTGATGACAATCAAGGTAAGCCATTGTCGCTTGGTAAACTTAACCATAATGTCAATTTAATTCAGTACACTTCTTTACACTCGTATGAATTTTGTACGTCGCAAGATCGGATGCACTGAATCAGTCACTTCAAGTGAAGAAGATCCAGGATGAGGAATTTCGGAGAAATTTAAGTGCGACAGGCACCGCGATTCAGCCGTTCGAAAGACTACTCATTCTTACGTAAATAGTACATATTTAGTATACAATACTTATACACAGTAAGATAAGTTTGTCTTGTCTCGTCTGATTCGTGGCGCGTGCATGTGTTTACTACATGCGCGGTTGAGCGTCGTTGCCGCACTACTCAAGACGCATTGTTCACTTTTAAGGACTTCGCAAGAACCGGGAGAAGAGGGTCGGAGGTCGAATGATATGTCCTACCACGATTCTAATTTCATTATCGGCCAACGCGCTGCCGAGTGTCTCGCAAGCGTGTTACAGGGCGTGAATCTACGAACGTTCGGCGCGGCGGATTGGTGCCTATTTTATTCCATTTAAAGTACTCCATTTATCTATGTTATGCTTTTTATAATCGCTTTTATATGTTTTTGCTATTTTTAGATATAATGTTATCTAAGAAATTACATTTTATTCGTGTACTAACGAAGACTTGAACATCTTTCGAATCATCAAACGAAGGTTTTTTTTTAAATTAATTCTTGAGCTATATCATTTTTGTAAAATCTAAGTCTAACAATAAGTCGCTTAACACAATTCAATAATTTTAACTTTTAATCAATTCTTTTATGTGAGGCCTTTCCAACTTCAGAATAAATTCTGTTTTACAATATTTTTACTTATAAAATAAATAACAGTAATTGAAGATATTGAATTTTCTAGGTATCATACACACATAACATGCATTTTATTTGGCGCTTACGATGCTCGTGAGCATCATTTGTCCTTGTTTAACATTTGATAAACAACAATGAAATGATTTCATGAGCGTTGCCAGCGTCAAGTGAAACGCACCCATAGTAGCATATTAATAAAAAATAAAAAACATAAATATCTGAAAGGAAAGTTAAGATTTTGAGAAACTTTTTATTACCAATTATTGATTTTTTTCCTGTAATTAGAGTTCGTTCGATGATAGGTTCTTTCATTAATTTATAATAATTTTTTCTTAATGGTAAAAATGCTGTACGGCTACAGTTTATTTATTTCGAGGTAGACATATTTATTTCGTTGAAGACAAATTTGTATAAACGTGATAAAATTACTGACACTTACGCGCTTTACTTAATATATCTATAATTTTATACAGTTTCGTGACAATGTTTCTACGTTATATTCCTGTGATGATAAACCTTATGACATGATAAATCGCAACGCAATAATTTAATTTAAAAAATTGAATTAATACAACTACAATATAATTATATATGTTCGTGAATCGCACATTATTTTATCAATTAACAACAAAATTTAATAACTTCAGAAACATAAAACAAAGTTTGGAAACATTGTTTACGTTGTCAATCCGGGCTACTTTAAAATCGGTTTGAATACTACAATAAATTTGTAGTTATTGTTTATTTTAATTTGAAATAAGTGTAAGTTGCATTAAAAAAAGTTGATCTTATTTGGACGATGGATTATGTATGTTTTATCATGAATATCTCTTACGGATTATAAATCTTAACAAATTAAGATTACTTACTCACTATTTATTATGGACTTTTATAGTAGGGATTATGATATCCATATACAGCATAGATTATTCCAACAATATTGCAGTTATATTGCTGAAATAATTTATGCTGTATAGATATCTTTTCGCAATTATGAAATGTACGCTCATATTTTGATGAAGTAATGCAACAGTCATGGATATCGTATGTGAATTTTGTACGCTCTCGGAAATTGGAAACTATTACGCATCGTGCATCCAAACTTTCAGGGGCATTTTGGTGAAAACACCGTTCAGGAAGTCCTTGAAGTACTTGGCGATACTTGAGCTGGCCGCTGGTCTCATTTCCTCAATTATTTCTTTAATATTCTGATTCAGGAATTGATTCATCGCCTGGCCGATAACGTTGTTGCCGTTCAGGTGATCGTTTATGCGAAATCTGGCCCGACCGAGACTAAAGTCGATTAGTAATCGAGAAATCATCATGTAACGAATACCATTTCTCACTTCCTCGACACCTTGTATGCGAGCGATTGCCTTTACGTCACCTAAAATAGCAAGGTGCGAACATGCAAACCAGCAGACTGGAATATTTATTTAATAAATTGTGAAATTAGCGTTTTGTTATACCTCACGAGAATTCTTACCGAATAATGCCCAAAAATCTCCGTGACTTTGAATGGGGAAGAGAAGTACGTTTCCGTTTATGTCGTAGCTGCCATGAATATCAATCTTCGGCAAAGAAAGATGCATATCGAATCTATATGACGTTATGTTCACTCGTACTTTGTTGACGCTGTAGTTCCCTGGTCCTATCGTGGTGATGTTAGTGAAAATCGCTCTAACACGCACCGGACCTTGACCATTTTCCATCTTCAGTTCGGGGATCACCAGTGGCTCTATAGGAGGCACATCCAATTCCGGGATACCTATTAAAAAATTCCAATTAGAAACCATTTCCGATTAGCTTACAATCATTGAGAATAATGGAAGTGCACGGATTTTAATAGGACGTATAATTTTATTCCACTATCAAGATAATTATGTAAGACGCTCAAGCATAATAAATAATAGCACAATGTTTTGACATTCTAGTAACCAGTTTGAGCGTAATTATTTTGACGGTCTAATAAAATTATTTTCTATAGATTTATATATATATATCTAGCTAAAATTTTAGATACTTTAACGAAACCGGTCTTTCCGCATAGGTCAGTTATACTTTCGATTCAAACTTCTCAGTAAATTTTCTAATGAAAAGTCTATACGGCGTTTTTGTGATGTAATGTCGAGTTTTCGATTAAAACTAGTTTAATTAAAATTAGTAGACTTAATCTTGAAAGAGAGATTTTGGATTGTAAATCGAACAAAGGATTTTTACAATCATGTGTACACGTATCTGTATACTGAAAGGTCATGCACAGTGACTTTGTAACTATTACGTATTCTAATTAATGCATGGATTTTCTATGTTGCTAAACAGACAACAGCTGTGATGCGGATACGATAATTTATATAATTTTATGTAATATAATTTTATAGTCATGATTAAATAGTTGTGATGTATAAAATTTAAAATATATTGATATAATTTAAGGGGTTGCTAGATAAAAAAAATGGCCGAATTCTCAAAGGATTGCTGTTTTACTGATTAAACCTGACACATTACTACTACATTAATGCCGCACTCATACATACGTAAATTTTCGTATTATGCAATTTCATATTGAACTAGGTTTAACAAGGGAACGTTCCAAATTGCAAAAGCGATATCAAAAAACTAACGCTATCAATCAAAAGATCACGTTTGAAATAAATATTCTAGGTAGTCAAATCTTGGGATCCTGTAGATTCTGTACCCGATTTGGTACAAAACATATTTGGTCATTTTAACTTTGACATAAAATATCTCGAGAACAATACATTTTTGGGAAAAATGTTTCAAATAAAAGTTGTAGAGTTTGAAGAGGGCCATTAGATGAGCTACTTAGATTAAAAAAAATTAATCTGGGCCTTATTGGGTCCAAAATGGGCCCTGAACTCAAAATCTAAGTAACTCATCTGATGGTTCTCTTCAAACTCTATGACTTTTATTTGAAACATTTTTTCCAAAAATGTATTATTCTCGAGATATTTTGTGTCAAAGTTAAAATGGCAAATATGTTTCGTATCAAATTGGGTACAGAATCTATAATACAGAATCCTAAGATTTAACTATCTAGAATATTTATTTCAAACGTGATCTTTCGACTGATAGCGTTAGTTTCTTGATATCGCTTTTGCAATTTGGAACATTCCTTTGTAAGTCTAATTATGAGGCTTGTTTCTCTTCTAGTCTAAACTCGACTCGTTTCTTCGTGTAATCTATTAATCTGGAAATTTCATTTCGTAAGTATACAGATTGCACAGAGCTTTTATATCAAATAAATTTCGTTTAATAACAACAAACGTTGCCTAAATTTTTTCTATTTATTTTTTTAGAAAAGGTATGTCTATAAAGGATGGGCTGTCATTTCACCTTTCGTTTATGTATTTATTTGAATGATTTTTAATTCCTTTGAAATTAATCGTATGATGCCAATATTTTGCAACGACGTTGTGCGTGTAATTGTGCCATACTGCTTTTCTATGAAGTTCTGAGTTCCGACTTTGCCTGTTACATAAAGCATCATTGTAAGTCTAAATCAGTTGTACAAATTTTCACGATATTTACCGAGCTCGAGGAAAGTTTACGCTCTTACGACATGAGAATATACTTATGTAACAATTGCAATTAACATTTTATTACTTACTGGTTTATTTTGGTAATTGATATCATATAAACTCGATAGAAGAAAATAAATAAAAATAAAATTTTTATTTATTAAAATAGGTATACGAAAATTTTTTGCGATATCGTACATGATTTGTTATTTTTAATATTCATATTATTTTAACTTTTTAATATTTTAGTATTAATATTTTTCATAAAATTAATAAAATTTAGTATTAATATCTTTCATTGATTGATGTTATTTTTATCGAATTATTATCTAAGCAATAAATATTACAAGGCACATTCAAATTGATCGCTCAGCTATAAATAGAAGCGACAAATTGTATGATTGTAATTTTAAGCAAAATATTAATAAAGAAATACAATTTTATGACGAATAAAATTAAACTTATTTTTAAGCAAAATATTGATATTATAACGCCTAAAATTTATGTTCTTAATATTTTGATGTGTACTATTTTTTCTGTTTCACATTAAAAGTTTTAATTATATTGTAAAGCAAATTGACGTTAACCAAGGATACTAGTAACACTATTGAAGTGATATGATTATGTAGTTTATGTTTCCTGTAGCTTGTGACGTGCATTTTGCTAATTTGATAAATTGCCGTTTTATTTACCTTTCACCAAATATGGATGGATATGGGCGAGCGTGTTAAGAAAGCACGCATCGATCTTTGGGTCTTTCCTGCTGCATGGTAGTACGTATTCGGCTGAGGAATAAAGAAAACTTGACTGTAGGTCAATCAAATATTATGTAATGGAAATTATGTAATTAATAATAGGCATGCTAATAATGGTAACATGCATCACGATATTGAATAACGTTAATCGTTAATCTTTACAGGCAACGCACGTATCTGATAGTCTCCATTAATCTCTTTGAGTGAACACGTAATGTGCTTTCCGGATATAAATACGCGCGGATACTAGAATATCTTACTTAAATTAATGATTTTCGTGTACTTTATGTTTTATTATTTGAAAAGATATAATTTCACATCTCTGGAACATTCTTGATTTCATGGGACTGCTATGATGCGCTTCTAAAACATGAAAAAAATGAGTAATTTTTGCATTGAAACAGTGAAATTTTCTAAAATCATCTTTTATAATTATTGTTTTTATTTCTAATAAGAAATATTATATAATAGTTATATTAAAGTATATACGAAATATTAATAATGTACAAAAATATTGTATAATTTAAAATTTATATAAATGCTATATGCTTATTTATAAAAATTTTTATTTATAGAACGATTCAAAGTTATTTTTGATTTATTTAATGATTTACCTGATATTCATTTCCTTTCTGTATTTAATTATCTCGTTAATTAATTATGTCTGGTGATTATGCACGTTAATCTAGGTTCATCATTTGTTTCTCTAAAGAAGCCATTAAGACTTTTGTATTCAGTTTCAATACATTATAAAAGTTTGAATAATACTACGATTTCGTTATCATCCCGAATGAGCAAAATTACCGATATTAACACTATGATAGTTTTAATGAACTACTAGAAAGTATGAAATACTAGAAAGTATTTGCCATTAGCTTGAGTAATTCGGTCGAGGTCTTCTTACTTTCTTTTTTACCATGCTATTGTAGTAGAACTGACTTGTTCTAATGGAAACTACTCGATATGGAACAATAATCCTCCCCTCATCCGTTCTTTAGTGAATCGCTCTGCAAGGTCTTCTTTCTTTTATATTGTTTAAATAATCATTACTGTCAAAGACTTCGTAATGCTAATCATCAGTTGACTACGAGAGATTGAAATGGCAAGAAAGAAAAAAATAATGCAAAGACCAAAACAATTTTAAATGTGCTAACATTTAATCTTTGTTATTAAAATTTATGTCAAAGAACAGAGACGTTTAATCCTTTTGTATTATTATTACGTTTCGCATAGGAATCTGGACCACTTGACGCATCACTGGCATGGCTACGTTACGTTACGTTGTCGCTTTCACTCGAGACATCGATTGATTCGACCGAGAACGAACGTGGGCAAAATGAAAAACAAAGAAGAAAAAAAGTATATCACGGGTTCTAATGCTCATTGCTACCGAAGTAAGAAAGTCGATTTATAGAACACGTAGAAAGAGTTCTGTGGTATAGCATATGATAATGTCGATTTAAAAGTGGTGATGTCGAGCTCGACAATGAATCACGCTTTGGACAGCCTCAGAAAGCGGAAGATATTGAATTAGAAGTGCTACTGTGTGTGTGTGTGTGTGTATGTATGTGTGGGGGGGATCAAGATTCAGTATAAATGTATAACAAAAGTTCGCAGATAAGTTAACACTCACTCAAGTCATTATTTTCAAATATTTAAGCGTAATGGAAAAGGTTCATAAAGAAGAAATTTAAGCAGAACAAGTTACGATGACTTAAAATGGATCGTGATTAATTGAAAAGAGACGTAATTATTTTGGAGCTATTTTGACGTCATTTTAATGTCATGATGACTTGTTCTACATAATTTGTTTTACGTGTTCTACTTGAGAAGTTAGATGTCAAACATTTTTTAAAGCTCCAGTTTCTCCCTTGTCTCCACGAAGTGATGAAAAAAAGATATAATGTAACTTTTGCATCTTTGTTTCGAGAGTTTAATTTATTAATCCAGCATGTACTTCGAAGAAATGTCATCACTCGTAATGTATACGGAGTGAAGAATCGGTGTGGTGTTTTGCGTACATCGTTATAACATCGACTTTACCGGTACTTTCTCCAGCCGATTGCCGTCGATCCTCGACACCGCAAATTATGCAATCTCTGACATAACCTTCGCCACACTGTTAAGAAACGTTACGCCATGATCCGAGACATTATATCGGCAAAGACCACCGTGGCCAGTGTCGTTTTGCACACGTGGATTATTTTGCTAAATTGACTATTATTATTGTTAGAAGAAATAGGTAAAAAACGGATCTCTTTACAATTATGGTCATAAAAACAAAATGATTGCAATTAATACGAAAAAAACCCCGGAACGATATCATTAAATTTTTTGTAAATTTTTTAGTAAGTTTCATTATTGTCTTCTGCTTTTAATATCAAGATCATATTGCTATTTATGTTCATATTTTAATTTCTATATATTCTATTGTATTTTTATATTTATAAAAAGATTCTGACTTGAAATTTTTTAAATTCTGAATGCTTTAGTATTAATTATAAATAAATAACAATACAAATTGTTTGCTTTATTTAAGTGTAAAAATAAATAAACCTATGCTTATTTTGTACCATTTTTTACTAATATTAATTTTAATAAAAAAAACAAGGTAAATGTAATAACATTTTTAATTTTTATTATTAAATATTTATTATATTTTATTATTAAAAGTTATTATTAAAATTATTATTAGAAATTCTTATTGCCATTTATTTATTCTATTATTATTTTTAATAATTATTAGAATTTTATTTATTTAAATTGCTATTTATTATTATTTATTATTAACATATTATGATTTGCAAATTAAAAAAATGTGTTCACAATAATTATAAGCAAATATTTATATATTATTATGCACTGCTTTTTAGAGAATTGCTTATACAATTATTAATTTAGTTGGAAATTTTACACAGAACAGTAATATAATGGTGCAGAATAGTAACATAATTCATGTAGCATTTAATGTTACATAAAAAGTTATCATATAAATTGCTATGTTTAATTTATAAAAAAATAATTTGCATATTAATTGCGCGAATAATTAAAATTTATATAAAGTATTTTTAAATTCAGTAAAGTAAAAAAAACTAACTTTTATAGCGAAATATTATCCTTATTTCGAAATATTTTAGTAAACAAATCAATTTATAAAAGTCGTAGTTTTGATCAAATTTTGAAAATGTCGCGGAAAAGTTTGCGTGATTGATGGTTGGCGGTCACAATAGTGGAGAGTACAGATGTATAATAAAGACAATGGGTTTCCGTCACATAATCATACGGTATGCCCATTGTATTTCTTCGGATTACGACGAAAGAGAAAGGCAGATATGCTCGAGATGTTCAGTGGAAAATGTAAATGAAAATGCAAGGTAAGATTACACTTGCGCGCGTAATCATTTCCTATTCTTTTCCGTTCACACGTAATCAACATAGTCGCACACATTTTCTCTCTCTCTCTCTCTCTCTCTCTCTCTCTCTCTCTCTCTTACGTCATTATAAAATAAATACTAATATAAAAAAATATATACATTTATATACAGTTATAACAAATAAATAGGCTTTAACAAATAGCAATATAACAATTGTTAATAGCAAGAATTGTCAAATAGAATAACAATAAATTTTTTTCCAGAAGTGCGTGAAAAAACAAATTCTTCCGCGTTTTTTACTTTGAAATTTTAATGATTTATTGATTAGAATTCTAACAATATTCTAACATAATTCTAATAATATAGTAATGATATTTATTGAATAATAGCTGTATAACATTTGGAAATTTCAACAAATTTCGACATTAAAGTTCAAGTAAATAAATAAATCATTATAAACGATCGTAAAAATACACAAATATGTGTTATAATTTTAACAAACTTTTATGCCACAACGCATCATGTTAGAATTTTTAATGCGACTTTTAATGTTAAGCTTCATAAAAAAAACAATCATTTGTATGCGTCTGTGTTGCGGTGTCATGGGCGACCAGGAATCTATAATGAATATTACCACCATGGTATATATGACTAATAAACGCGCATGCCGCATAGCAATTAGTGTCAGTTCAGCGTCTCAGTTTCTAATAATCGTGTGAAGTACAATTTAATAATAATGATTCGACAATTGATTAATGATATGACGGAAGAAACTATTTCATGATAGTCTTACGAGTGGGGAAATCTGGCTCATTAAGTCCACTGTTGACCTCCGTGACGTTCTGGTCCTCGCAGGACACCAAGACAGTCCCACAAAGGCCCAGAAGCAGAATGGAAGCTATCCTCACGAAGGCCATCCTGTCGGTATTCTTGCCGAGAAACACGACACTCCTCACTTTCCTGTTCTTACGTCTGTAAAAATGCGAGCAGATCCTTAGCGATCACGCTATACGATTGATTATCCCTTGCAAGGGGCTTACAAAACGACTTTTAACTTGAACACCAGCAACTCTTCCGACAACTCTCTGAAGGTCGCACAAAAAATGATCGCAATATCGATAGGTTCGCGAAAGAGACTGAAGAAGGGACTCAATGCGAACGAGAATGCAGAAGACCTGCCAACAGAGTTGTACGGTTATTTTGTGATAAACTAAGGACGGGACCCCTTCATATCCTGTCTTATATGCGCTGTTCCCCTACTCTGAAGGTGTAACCCACTACTGCCTGCTGACTTTAAAGAGCCAACCATCGTGATTATCTCTTTTCATCTGCTATGACAATGCACCCTGAACCGATGTTCTATGACCGGCTACACACAAAATTTACATATGGTTGCGATAATCGCAACAATCGTAATTGGATATTGTTGTCGAATTCTGTGTTTACGATAAAAATATTCTCTGGGAAACCATGGATCTTCATGACTTTATCGCTTGCCTTTCACACCATGACATTTGATTACATTAGGTTTCGACTATTTTTATAGTCCTTTTATTTTTGTAAGATTATTCATACAATTTTTCATACCTTCTCTATTACAAGAAATAAATGCGCAAACCATAGTTGCACAAATTATGTTATGTGCACACAAGTTCCTATTCAACAAATTAATGAAAAAATATTATATATAGTAATTAATATATATTATATATAATTAAACAATATTTTTTTGTATTTTTATATTGAAAAATATTTATTGTTGTACAAATTAGCTATTCACAAATATATTTTCTAATGCCGTTGATAAAAAATTGTTATTTCTAATTTTTAAATGAGCATAATTTTTTATTTAATTAATGCTTTTAATTTAATTGAATTAATTTAAATCAATTTTATATTCCTTGAATAAAAGTTGTAAGCATTGAACGTCAAAGTAATGAGAAATAAATTAATAAGACTACTTTTTCTTCCGTGATAGGCGATAATAACGAACTTGATCGGCCATGACCACTTAATGTTTCATTGTCTCTTCGAATTTGTCCTCCGAGGAACCTGATCTTGCGTTTCTGAGACATGCGCAAGAGATAAATACCTTGTTGGACAGATAAATTGAAGTGCATATAAAAGCTTTGTATAGTGGACAACCAAGTTCACCTCGACTTCGTTGTAATTATCTTCCATCTTACTTATGTATCGTATACAAAAACTTTTTCTTGTTATGGAATCTTTATAGTTGAAAAAAGTGATTAAATGTTAAGATGAAATCATACGATGCTCGATTTCTTGAATGATGCATATACGCATGCAGGGCTGGGCATGTATTTGAAATACTTTTATTTAAAACACACTATTTGCAATACAAGCGTATTTTGTATTTTTTTATTTCAGCGGATCGCATAAAATATAAATATTACGTATTTTGTATTTAAAATCGAAAGATTGAAAGCTTTTTGTATTTTGTAATTCAAATAATAAAGTTAAGTGTCAATGTTAGTATATGAAATACAAAATACAAAATACTTTTATATGCTCCCATGAAATACAAAATACAAAATATTTTCATGTACTCCGAACAAACACAAAATACAAAATATAATTGTCTTACTAATATTGTTTTTCAAATAAAAATATTTCAAATACATGCCCAGCTCTGCATGCTGTTATGCTTGCTTTAATACTACAGTCTAAAATTTGATAAATAACTATAAAATTAGCAATTGTTTCTTTTGATTGATGCATGCAAAGCTATAAATTAATCCATAATAAATATAAAAATCATGTACATATATGCAATATGCAACGCTCAATGCATGAACAAATTCTAGCATACATCAGATTTGAGCAGGCATGACTGTATGCATGTTATCATTCGAGACATCGTGTAATTCTATCTTTACTTACGTCTGCAACAAGCTAAAAGATGTGGTAAACAAATTTGCTGATATTATTTGTTCTCCTTTTTATAATACTTTAATCGCGAATGAATACAATATGAATGTGAATGAGTATCAATGAATATAAATAAATATAGGTAAATTATAAGTCTAAGCAATGAAAAATGAATAAATACTACTTGTAAATTATAATTTTACAATATATACACTTAAAAAAATTATATATATTAATTAATATTAGCAATAATTAAAATCTTTTCTTTGTTTCATTTGTTTTGTTGCAAAATAAATAACAATTAAGTATGAAGTAAGTAGAACGATTTTCTTAGGAGGATTACGACAAGATTTCATAACTACATTTGTAAGAGAAAAGACTGTCGACAGAATTGCAATGGGAAAATGCAGAACATAATTTTCTATATATCTTTATATGCAATTACAAGCTTGTAAGAATAAGACTCGCACTTATTTGGGAAGAATATATATAATAATTGCTATTTTCTTAATCATATAATTTACGCACTACGCCTACATTATTTGTTATGGGTATAGATTTTGCTAATATTTGAAAAAAAATTATTAATATATTTAGGATTACTAATAGATATACTACATTGTATATATTTTTCAAATAATTGATCAAAAAGCATGTTATTATATTGTATATAATATTAAACGCATATACTACGCATATACTATTAAATTATACATATTAATTATGTAATAAACTATTAAATTATACATATAATAAAAATATTTTTTTATTAACTTTTAAATAAACTCTCAAATAATTTGGATGTTTTGAAAGCTTGTTATTTATTTCTGCAACTTAGAATTAACTAACATTGATTTTTATTACTTAACTGGTTTTATTTCTTATATACTGTTGTTTATACAAGGTGTCCTGAAATTTTAGGATAATATTGCAGCGTAAAATTTCGTGAAAAGTTAGATAGTAAAAGTGGAAGCTATTTTTGTTATAAAATGATGCACGGTTAGTAGGAAACGAATTTTAATAGATATCTTATATAAATTAACGTAAGTATAGGAAATAAATGCCTTAAATGGTCTAGCTGGATCTTAAGTGCTTGTACAATTTTATATGTATTTATATACTATGTATGTAGTCCTTTAAAATACGCGCCGAAATGATTTTTCGATCTTGAAACGCAAAATCTACTAAACTATCGCAGTAATATAAGTCAATTTAATTTAACTCGTGATATTACTGCATGCGGTAGTTTAGTAAAGTTTGGGTTTCAAGACCGAAAAATCATTTCACACCCCGCAGTTTAAAGGACTACATATGTAGTATATAAATTCACACAGATTTATACAAACATTTAAGATCCAACTAGACCGTTAAAAGCATTTATTTCTATTGATGGTCGGATGAGATTTAATATTTAATATTGTCAAAATATTATGTCTTTTACGCTAATGAAATTATGCATGTAATAATTAAGCAACATTTATCAAGCTATCAATATACAATTTCCATGACAATGATTATGTATGAAGTAAATCGACTTTATGTGTTTTTTTTTTAAATAGATGTATGTATTTCAAGAAAACTTACCATATTGTCGACAGCCTAAGAGATGTTTTCCAAGTATACTCAACTGCAAGGATGGTCAGCAGTTTGAAGGAGCCTAAGAGCGCGTTCACACCTTGACGGAAAAGCAGAAAGCGGGAAAGCAGTGGCCAATCACAACTCGCGCTGGTAGTAGTACAAAAAGCCGAAATTGTCGACTACCAGTGCGAGTTCTGATTGGCTGCTGCTTTTCCGCTCTCTGCTTTTCCGTCAACGCGCTTTTCTGTGAACGCGCCTTAAAACTTTTAGATTATTTAAAATCACGTGTGGATCATCTATACATTTAAATATCGAAAAGATAGGCGTGTTATACCTAAAAATTATAAATTAAATTTATATTTGATTATTTGAAAAATATTTATTAATACGTTACAACTGTTACAAGTACTAAGAATAAATGTTAAGAAAGTAAATGAAAAAGATAAAATATTGTTTTATTTGAGATATTATTTTTGATTAAACTGGACATGGAAATTGGGACATTAACACTTTCTCTTCTGTATATCTAAAGTTTATATAAATTTTAATAAAATTTACATAAAATTATGCTATAGTCGAACCTATATCTGTAAATGTTAGAATATAGAGGAAAAAATTATTATTAAGTATTTATTTTAGAATATAAAGACAACTTCAGTTTTACAAACACATTTTGAAGATCAATCATTTTCTATTATTTTATTAAAATAAAATTTTGAAGTTTTTTATCATATACTTTAGTAATCATTATATGTTTAAAAAAACGTTGTTTTATTATTTAAATAAAATTGAGATGTAAACTTAAAAAATACATTATTTCTATGTGATTTTCAAAATAGGCTTTCTAGAGAAATTAATAAAAGAACTTTATTTTTAATATTTTTGAGGCTTTTCCACGGGTGTTTCCTATATGACAATCTTGCGTTTCGCGGGTTTTCTCCGTGTTCAGATCCATTCTTGGAATGCCAACGTTTCATGAACCTTGCAGTCCACTTCATCAGGGCGAGGAGCAGCCTGATACTAGGCTGTTCCCCCGGGTCATTTCCTTTATATTACGTTGCTTGTTGGAGGGGAGGGAGGGGGGAAAGAAAATTGTGGGTGGAGGAGGAGAGAGGAAATCGGCCGGTTTTCGGTAGCCGGGAGGATGTCCCCCGGCTTCCATCCTCCCAAACCCAAGAATGGATCTGAACACGGAGAAAACCCGCGAAACGCAAGATTGTCAGAGAACTTTATTCTTATTTAAATTTTGTCATTATTATTTTCGTTATTCAGTAACCAATTATTCTGTATTATTGGGGCTAGTATCTCTTGCTACGAGGTACAAAGTTACGTCTCTGTAAATGAATATTCCGAATACGTCACATTTTTATGTTTTACTTTCGGCATGTGGAACTGCATTTAAAAAACTGACGATGTTTACTCATGCTAACTGAAAAAACGTATCTGCTTACATTTCTAGCAAGATTATATAATATAAACTACATTCCAGGTTTAAAAGGTTAAAATTACGTATCCAGTTAAAATTACATGTATTGATGTATGTACTTATTTAGATTTAACCTATTTACTATGACATTTTGTACTACAAAAAGATCAATGTGTAGTTTTACATTATATGTAAAAAATTTATTTGTTATTTCGAACAAGAATAATATAAAGAAATACATGTAACTATAATTCTGTAATAACAGATCCGTAAAAAACTAAAACGAATGGAGAATAAAAATGATAATAAATGCACGAACTTATTTCTAAAATATATCTCATTTATAAAGAATGAATGTAATGTATTTAAGGGGGCAGCAATGTATCCAATGGAAATTTTGAGTAAAACTTATTTGAGAATGTCTTAAAGATTTCCGAAATAGTGTTTTCGAGAGCCGGCTTAATTTCGGCCGTCACAATCTTCCAGTTGTCATTTAAAAAGAGATTCATAGCATTAGATAAAGTATCATCACCGTTGAACAAATTATCCAGATGGATATTGGCCTGTCCAACATCGAGGTCTACGTAGAAGTCAGTAACACGATAATGAGTCTCATCAGTTCTTCGAGATTGATAACGTTCGCCTTGGACGGTAGCTATGACATCAATATCTGTAAAATTGCCATGCGCCAATCCGTTTCCGTTTATAGGCATCATCAAAATCTTTCCTTCCATATTGTAGTGCGCGTTCATCTCAAGACATGGAAGGTACAGTTTTAATTTAATGCGATTATTATCGATATCGATTCTGAAAAAGATAATTTTAAATAAATTCTGTATACAATTTTTGAGGATTTATGATAAAAATAATTTTAATGCAATTTTATAATTTTGAATGAAAAAACGTTCTTTCAAACATCGGATTTTCTAGATACGGATTAATTTTAACTCGACTTTTTATCTGTTCATAGCTCGACTCATATATATTATACATACTTGACGCTCTTTAAAATGAAACTCGTTCCTCCTTGAACCTCGATGTCGGTATATGTCGATCTGACGGAAACTGGACCGACTGACTCGCTAATTTCAATCTGTGGTACGTGAAGTGGCTCACAAGGTGGTATTTGTAATGCTGGAATGCCCGTCTTCAGATAAGGCCTTAACGAGTTGATACTTTGCTTTACGCATTCGTTCAGATTTGGATCATTGCGGTGGCATATCTTTACAAACAGCGCTAGAAAATGTATGTTTTGTAATATGAAATTTTTTCTCGTAAATATTATGATTAAAGTAATGTTTATATATATAATTTAATAATTTAGTGCTACTTAATATTTGAAATAAATAAAAATAGACTCTTGGTAATATAAAAAATTGTCATAATATGGCAATAGTAATAACGGCGCGATAAGTCGAGCGCAAATTGTTTCAAATATATTTATAACCAATTTATTACTTTACAATAATTTCCGGACGGATTTTTGGTCTCTTTTTGAACCATCAGCGATTTGATATTATAAATTGATATAAAAAACTAATAAATTACTAATTCTTTCGAATTTTTATAGAAATTAAATTGTAAAATAATATTTTATTTTCTAAGAAATGTAAAAAAGAATCATTATTTTTTTCAATTACTTTGTTTTCATAAATTGTCTAAAAGTCATTAATATAAAACACTTTATACACTCACACATATCCTTTGATTTATAATAATCGTATAAATAAAAATAGATATACCTACATACTCGTATACATATTCTATAAAATAATTGATATATTACTTACGTATATCACGAGTTCTCACTGCAACAAATGCAGATATTATGAATAAGAATGTAAATATATGCGCACTGATATGCATTCTGGTTACAATGAATTCTATGCGTAGAATAACTCGTCAGTACGTCAAAGTATCACTGAAAGTGTTATCGAATGCATGAATTTATTTCGACCATCGCAATGCGCTGATTAGGCGATTGTCTCTCTTTATGAACGAACCCCATTAAGAGTCAATATGCTTATTCGACATGAAATGATACTTTTCCTCTTCGTGACACAGTTAAATTTGTATTTGATGAATATACAATAAAGTGCGGTTTAATTTTTAGTCGTTTATTAATTTTTAATTGATCCTTTACAAAAAATACATTTACTCTTGAAATCTAGATTTTTATCTATGATAATTGTTCGCAGTATCTGTTCGCAGATAATTATCGCTGATAATTGTTCGCAGCAAGAGGTCATCCGAAGACCTTGCTCTCCATTACGTCATCGCGTAATGAAAGAATTTAAGAAAATGTAGTGTCGAAGAAAATATATTGATGTCTGACTAAGAACCACTTAACTAGCATCATATATGACTGGTCCATGGCCCAGATCTTCCATACCCTTCCATGATCAACTATAAAAGCCTCTATCGAGTGCATCGCAGGCTTGTAGTCTACAGCCCTCTATGTTTGCTCGCGATTGCCAATCTTTCTTGAATATTAGTTTCCAAGAAATCGTAATTAATTATTCTTAAGATGTTGTCTAGAATTGTGCATATACTTATAAGATGCATTAATGTATTGAATGAGTAATGTGTTGAATCGCATGCTAATATGTATGATTATCGTGTGCTTTTTATTGATATATGTTGTTATTAATACTAATAGTGTTGATTTATAAACCGATTTACGTTTGAAAAATCGACGTGCCTTATTGAAGAATTGGAAGAATCTTTTTATTCGATTTTACAGATTTTAATAGAATACTGAAATATTCGACATCTTTATCAACAGCTAGTATCTTAAAATTTAAAAAATTTGGCATAAATAATCGATTGCGACAAAATGGGTGAATTAGAGCAACGAAGTACCCTATACATGCTTCTGGTGCTCTCTGTGATGACTTTAACGAGATGTGGACTGCTAGAGGTATCCCAAATGCTCTGGAACAAGACAGTGTTAGGAGGCATGACGAAAATAGGCAAGCTGGACCCGTTGAGGGTGCCGTTGATCAAGATTGATCAATCCGAGGGCGATGCCAATTACAGAGTGATTCTGAAGAATTTGGAGATTATCGGTCTTAACGAATCGGTCTTGGAGAGTGTCCATGTTGCTCGTGGCGGACTGAAGTCCAATCTGAGTGAAACTGAAGCCGGGTACGTGAGCTACAGCGATCTCAGAGATGTGGATTCTATTAGATATAGATTCCACACTGTGATAAGGGAACTCAGTGTGCCTAAAGAAAGTTTCCAAGCCGTCGTTTCGCCCACCAATCGAGCTGCTGATATAAGGCCCTTTTTGCCATATCAAGACACTCGTTTCGATCGATTGCAACAAGATCAGCATGGCACCAGAATGTTCGAGCAAAACCGGCAGTATGATCGCCGGATTCCTTTACGTCCTGATGTCATATCTGATGGTCCTTATAGAGGCAATTTGAGATTATCAAGCAATTTTGAGGCAAGTTCTGGAAACGCCGAAAGTTTTAAGCGGCCGACCTACATTCAGCCTATTTATACACAAAACACGAGAGGCTTTCAAGGATATCATAGAAGTCTACAGAATAATGAAGATACCATTGATTGCGATAGTACAAAGACTTCTTCCCAGTTTAAAGGACATCAAGACAGCCGACGGTATGGTCAACAAGGTCCTAAAGTTGGATATTACGGAGAACGAATCGGAGATGCTGAGGTTTAAAAATTCATTTTATCTTATAATAATATTTTATAATTTAATTATAATTAAATCGAGTCAATTTTTTTGCATAATATAAATAGTAAGTTATTAATTATATTATCATAATATTATTTGTACAGTTTCGTTGAAGTATTTAAAAATTTAGAATAAATATAGATTTGAAAATAATTTTGTTGGATTATTAAAATAATTATATAGGATGTTCAAGTTGGTTGCTAAAATATTAAAAGTGCATCATTGCTCACCACATGCTTCAGTATTTTGTATAAATATTTGATGTACAACAAAATTATTTTCAGATTTGTATCTAGCTATAATACATTTTTACATAATTCACATGTATTATAAGATAAGGTGTAATTAATAAGTAATATGATATTTTCAAACTATAAAATTGAATAAAATAGGTTTCTGCATCAAAAACAGTCGAGATTAGATCGAAAGATCAGGATATAAGACCACCTGTGTTACATAATAGAGAACAATCTCAGCGATCAGACATTGCATCTTCTAGCAAAATTAAATCGTCAGGAAACGTAACAAGAGAGCGATCCGGTTATATCGACATTGTTTATGCGGATGATAAAACTAATGGTAGCGTAAAGCATTTCAGTAATCTGCGTACCGATTCTCGAGATAATCGGCGAGTATACGGCATTGAGGACATCATGAAGGTCTTTAAAATTTCTTTTTTCTTAATTTACGATGTTTTTTAAATTATTATACTAAATATCGTACAAAATTATATTTATATTTTTGAAAGTTTGTGTATAATTTACAAGATATTTTGATTGTAAATCCTTATTATTATTATTACAGAATATTCGAGAGAATACAAAATTCATTATCTACAATTTTACGGAAGGTGAAACTCTAAGAAAAAGAAACGACATAGTTAAAGCTGCGATAGAAACCAAAAGATTGAAGGATCTAATCAGATATGCGAAAAACTATCAAGAACAGCAAGGATACTTTGAAGAAGGCATGCAGCTGATCTATCATTATGGCGGAATGAATGTAAAAAATGATAGCGTCTCTCAAAACCTAAGTGATATCAAAAGAACGAAACGAGCGCATCCTGAATTGACATCTGATGAAGTAAGATTATTTAAACATCCTCGATTTAGTAAGAAAATTGAATTATTCGAAAATGTTCCTTAGTCAATAAATTTCCATAATAATAACACTACTGTGATTTATTTATATGTTTGGAAACATTTTAGGACGATGTGATACATGTGATTTTGAGAATACGCGTCCCGCTGCTTCGAGTGAAGTCTCAATACACGCTTATGGGAAAAGTGGGAAAGGAGATGTTACATGGGAACGGTCTACTTGTTGGGAACTTTAGTAAGAAAACTCGCATTTTGCGAAACATCGTGCTTGAAAATGATGCAAAGTTATATATTCCTATTGCTTTCACAGCCGATATAGTGGGCGATTTTACACTGGAATTGAAGAAAGTCAATGAAGAATTGATAATAGTTCGTGGTGCTAGAGCGAAGCTATCTGCGAAAGATAAAAAAATCAATCTTCAAGGTATGGACGAGAAGGGACCGGTGCAAGCCATTCTTAGTCATGGTAAGTACGAGCAATTTAAACATAGATGCAAGTTACGATAAGTTGATTAAATCAGTAAATAAAAAGCATAAAAGGTTTTTTTGCGAATAACAATTACATTCAAATTTTATTCAAATTTTTGTTTTAGTTATTTTAAATATTGAAATTAATATATAATATTTTAGTATTTTGAATTTTAATTACTTCCAAATTTTATTTATATTGTATAATATTAAAATTTTTTATTTATATTGTATTTGAATATAATTATTACGCGAAAAAGATCTTGTGTGTGGCTTATATGCTCTTGTTTATTTATTGCTATTACTTTTATTGCAAATTTTAATATTTGCTTTTTTAAGAAATAACTGGAATACTAGTTCTCAGCACATTTCATTTTTTGACAAAGAAAAAGAAGTATAAATAATTCTTACAAAATAAATTGCTTAACAACTAAAAATCCGGTTCTTGCCGATTATGTGTAGTCAGTTGTTTTTCTTGCATGACGCGATTCTTCTGTAATTACTTGGCAAAATGAAAAGCCGAATTCTTTTTTGGAAAGTAACGTAGACCGATAGGTGATGGTAATATGATGATATTGCTTATCGAGAACAAGTATCTTGCACGTCATTGGCAATTATCATAAACAATATGCATACATGTGTAGAGGGAAGGGGAAAAAGATTTTGTGTTTTACATTTTAAAATATTTCGTATACATTCTAAAATGTTTCCTTTTGAGAATACGAGGAAAAACGGGATATATACAAAGCGTCGTGATCTGAATTAATGTCGCGGATTGTTGAAGTCGATCGCAGGAACGCCGATATATTCGAGTAAAAGTTCTCGCTTTCTTGTGAACGTGACCGAACGAACTCGTAACGAAACGATCCCGCGCGACATTAACTTGGTAAATTTTTCATTCTGTCATTGACTTTTCTCCTCCTCCTTTTTCTCCTTCTCCTCCTGTAGGTTTAATAGCTGCAGAGGCAGTCGCCGCAATGCTCGCTGATGACTTTGCGACCAAGGGACTTAGTGAGAGAACGGCCGACGCGCTGGTCTACAGGATGTACAAGGATTTACCAGTCAATTAATCAGTTCGTTCGGTCGTTCGAGGTGATCGAGAATTTTACGTCGCCAATTTTTATTTTATACATATTTATTTTTTTATTTCATTTCCTTACTTTTATCTGCACTTTTATCTACGACTTTATTTTAAGACATTATTTTAAAATGTTTTTTATTTCTTACATCAATATATATCTATAATCTATAATATTTCCAAATTGCTATTAGCGTGTCTAACTGTGCTTATATACGCATTTATTATTTACAAGATTTATTTTCTTTTGTTTATTTATTTATTTATTTATTTATACCTATTTAAATTATCTATTGCGTGTAGAAGATAAATTAATTTATAGGAATCATTATTTATAAAATTATACTTCAATCATAATTTAATTTTATTAATCAATACATGTTAATAAAATAAGTTTTAACAACAAAAGTGAAGAGATTTTTTGAATACACAATTGGAAAAAATGTTGAATTTAACATAAATCGCATGTCCCAAATGGTCCACTCAAATTTTTGAGTTAATTTTATACAAAATCTTAAGGAGAACAAGAAAATCAAAATAATGTCAAATTGACAATATTATGATTTTTTGTTTTCCTTGGGATAAATATGTTAGAAAGTAACACAAATATTTTGTAAGAGAATAAATACAAAGAAAGATAACATCGATACGATTTGTAAACGAACCAAATGGGAAATTTTTTTTTCAGAAAATTAACATTTATGATATGTTAAATTAATACATGTTTCATTTATTTGTCTCTTAGAATTATTAATTTTAAAATTAAATTATAAATTTATATTATTTCGTCTCAGTTTTTTTATTAGGAATTATATGATTAGTGGGCGTTATTTCAGTTACACCCTGTATATTAATTTAAAATATCGTTTTTGTACGAGACACAATTGTTTTATATACTGGCTACGTTTACACCGTGCGCTTAGTCCGCGACCTATACGATGAAGTGTCTTTGGCTACGTTTTTATATTGTATAAAACAATAAAGAAAAAATTTGGGTGCTGTCGAAAGGTGCCACTTTTTACATCAAGCGTAGATTTTATTTTTGTACATATCCGTCAATCTGCACAAGTATAAAATTAACTTTAGGATCACTTCGACCAACTTTAATCGATGTCCATTGGAATTGGCGAATCGCAACCGAAATGACAAATGCGATTGATCAATTCCAATGGATTAATCATAGATCGATGTCGTTATTTCCAATAGACTAATCATCGATCGGCAAAGCTAATTGGAGTTGGTCAAAGTGGCCTTTAATCTCGATTCCCAGAAGAATAGCGCTCCTAGGCCTTTAGAAGGATGGCGCGAGCCTTGTGGACTACTGTCTAAATCCGCTACTGCAAGTAGTATCTAATACTATTCTTGACTCTCTAATAGTTTGACTCTAATACGGAAAATCATTTTGTATTTCGCAACATGTGAATGAATTATTTTTGTTGCATATATACAAATTTTCTTCACTGAATTGTATATTCATTACGGCCACCATAATAGAAGATTTTTAAAAAGCATAGACTACCATTAGTCTGCGTCTTGCTTCTATTAATGAATTTTCTCCGATTTAAACTTGCAGACTTTAACCATTCGGTATTTGTGTTTCTCTCTTTTTTCCTATTCATTTTTCTTATTCTTTCATTTGTTATATTGTTATACCATTTTCTATAAGCGTTATCTTTAAACTATTACATCACTGTGTAAGATCAATAAAGATGGAACAAAGATTTAGATTTAATAAGTAATTGCAACGAGAATAATATCAAGAATCTTATCTAGCCTTAGCAATTAAAGCAATTGCTAGGAAGGAAAAATATGTATATGCAAGAAACTCGATAAGGAGAACGATTCATATCGACAATCACGTTGAAAATAGTGATTATTTATACTCGTCTCGAGACGTTGTAGGGATAAAAAATTGAAATTAATCCACACTGAAATCAGTTACAGATCAATCCGATTAGAAGTACAAATAATTACCGACAGCAAATAAGAGAGAATTTAATGAAACTTTATGTTCAACAATTGAGTAACTTCTTCTCTAATCTAAAGAAAAGGACATATTCGCAGATCGTAGGCCTGGCCTAAGACCTGAAAGTCCTTGTTGACATTTTCCAGCATCAATATCGTAATCTCCGTATGTAACTTTGTATCTATCTTTCGCATATATATTATAACTGTAATCTTACATATATAACGCGCTTACATATTACTCATCTCATTAGCATATTATATCGCATATCTTATTATGCGCGTCTATATTACGTAATTGAGATTGGATTGCTTGTTTTATAATGCTTTCATATTTTATAACGCGGACATGAGCAAGATTTTTTTGTACTTTAATCGTATTTTATATGAAACTGAAGATACCAGATAATTATACTATTATGTCGTTATTATTAACCGAATTGCTCAATATTTACAGAATAGAATAAATTTGCACAAGAATGAATTTAACTCGTTGAAATGACGCATTAATTAGATGAAATATTATTTATGTTGTGTGTGGCACAATAATATTATATAATTACGAAGGATAAGTTAAAAAAGGAACAGTTCAAGATTTATAAAAAGCAAGTAACGGTCTTTTATTTAATTTGAGAATTTTATTCACCCCCACAAGTTTTGAAATCTTTTCTCAACATCTTGTATATAAAAATACAAAAAATACGAAAATATCGATAATACAAACTATCTTTAACCAATTATAATTCAAAAATTCTATTATTGCCTCCATATTTTTGTATTGAGATTTTCGTCTCGAAATTACCTCAAGAATACGTTTTTAAGAGGAAAGTTGTGGGACAGGTAGTTATGGGACAGGTAGTTGCGGGACACCCTGTATAAATATTACCAATCCTTAAATAACTGATATAGAGACATAATGCTGATTATATTATACATATATGATTTGAAGCATCAAGCAAAAAGTTAATAGTCTTTATTTAAAAAAAAAGAACATGTTATGATGTCATTAGAGAGAACAGGAGATCGCTCAAGGGGACCGTCATTTTTGATTTATTTGATATAATGGCTTTGTCGCCTCAGGCTGAAATTATTCAGTGTTACAAGTGAAGTTTCTTTTAAGATATATTATTATCTATGCGTATGCAGAAAAAAATGACAGGAGAATTGCTGCAGCAGCAATAACAGTATTTCGAAAGCCAGTGATCCCGCCTTAGAACCACGATGCGTAAACGACCGCGTCCTCATCCTTGGATATCGCGAAAAGGACCGCGTTCCCATCGCGGAGATGTCGCGAGATTGCAATGCTTGGGATATTCCTATAATTCCGGTGGATGTATGCGAACCGCGTGTACGGTCATGTGCATGTGCATACGTCGTGTGTCAATCTTGGCTACGGCCCTGACTGAGTTAAGAGGAGGCACTCTACCGTAAATTCACCATCGCCTTCGACGTTATTCGAGTGGGGTAGTAGCGGAGAAAGTGCTCATACTTTATATATATCCGCTCGACGGGGCCATCGTACGCATTTTCGACATCACTAGTAGCTAATTGCGAACACGTATAATTTCGTGACATAGCTAAAAAACATAAAGTACACCGCGCACACAGGATTGTTGGCAGGATGATGCTGATCGGGCTAGTACTGTTCGTCATGTGGACCAGGACTGCCGTGTCAGAGCTGCGTAAGTTTCCTTTGCAGTTTTTTTGGTTAAAAGCATAATTATTATTTTATATACAATGAGAAACAGCGAGACAGTTGGTCACAATTCCTTATAAATAAAAAACGTCTATTAAATTAAATTTAACTGTATTATTATAAATGATACAGTCCCCCCCCCCGTTATACAGCCTCCATAACTATAATAAAAGACTGATAAAATTGTAGAAAAAATTCAAGCAACAAGAAAGGAAGTAAAATAAAGCAGTATGAATGTCCTTTAATAAGTGAAAAATAATACTATTACACATACATTAAAAGAAGTTAAGTTTAAAAAAGTGATCAAATTATTTGCTGTAATAATGTATAGATGAAAAAATAAAAATACTTTTTTTTTGTCCGATAACAAATAATTTCTTAAATGATACCATATAGTTTTCTTTTACTTATTATAAGCTATAAAAATAAAATTAAATTAAGTGTCATAAAATGAAAATTGACTCAAATTCTGAATATTATTGATTATTCTTAATCTTTTTTATGCCGTTTACATTGATTGGCATAGGCTAGGATTTTAGTCTGAAACGATTTGCAAGTTATTTGGCATGCAGAGCATATTTTAAATTAATGTATGGTGGGAAGATGACTCTACTTTCAAATATGAAAAAGTAAATTAAAAAGATTTTTCTTATGTATATTTTTCTGCGAAAATTTTATTAAAAGATTTATCAAGTACATACATATGTATATACTTGAGAAATTAAAAATTTCAATTTTATTTTTTCCCTAGACAGATGTTTCTGTTCGTGTTTGTATTTATGAATACGTCACAACTTGTTTTGTATCAAATCTACTATTGTATATATGAATCCGACAAATTTTCGAACTCAAGGATTTTTTATACAAAAAACTTATTGGTTATACTTATTTAATTTTTGTACATAAAGTTACTTCTTTTTCTTTCTTATATAGTTTCATTGTTTATTAACATCCTGTACATGGAAGAGAAATGTTATTAGGTAATTGTTTTTATTCTAAAAAATTGATCATTTAATTCAAGATTTTACGATTCATGCAAAAACATAAGATTTAAATATTGCTGTCTATCAATCGCGTTACAAAAAAAGCGTTTACTTAGAAATTATTGAACAAGTAAGATCTCTCTGCAATTATATCTGATAAATATTTGTTAAAAAAATTTTAAATTAGATCTTATATTTGAGTAAATTGTAGATTATTAAATAAAATATCACAATATGTAATGACATAAATTTTTAATGACATAAATTTATTCCGATTAACAAAACAGATATGATGTAAAACAGCCTTGAACATTACAAATATGTATTCTTTGATTTTGTAATCATTTTTATAGCAGTGATATTATATGAGTAATTCAGATAAAGTGTTTAAATAATCTAGATTTATTGAAGATAAGAAAAGGATAATGCAATTGTCTTATAAGTACAGGACTTTTAAATTACGTGTGAAGTGCTGATGCATTTTGTATGCAATTATCGCTCTTTTTTTCGTAATTTTCGCAGTGATGTATCTACAGCTTACGATTCATAAAAGTGTGCATAATTAAGCAATCAATAGAAATCCGGAAGTACATAAAGTTATTGAAGAAAAATCGGATGGGTATATTTGCTACGTGGAACGCGATACTGTTGTTACTCTTATGTACTGTATACGCGAGACAATGTAATCTGCAATTTAATTTCGCACTTTTACTCCATGTAATGGCTTTCTTGTCGCCGCTCAAACTCCACTATATAAAACGGTATAATTACGAATGCGTTCTTGTTTTTAACGAGTGAAACGCAACGTTGTTATTTTATATTTTTTTCTAAAGTTTATTGCTACTATTTAAATCTTTAAAAACAGGCGTTTCAAGAACACGAACGTTTTCATCGTTTCGCAATCCACGAATCCTTCGCAATTAATACACTTCCAATTCGCAATTTGTATAATTTTAGAAGAAGAAATAAAATTTTAATATTTACTAAACATATTGATAATTAACAACGCACAGCAATAATTGAGGAGATTGGCGGAATAAAGGCCTAATTATAAAATCTTGATTTTGATAAAAATTAAAATAACTTGTTACTTTTTTATTATATCATAAATAGGAACAGTATTAAATGTATATTTATATGTCTTTGAGAAGTTATATGTTATAATATTTCTCTATTATGATCAATATTTAAAAAGTTATTTGTAATTTAAAAAATGCATTTAGTCTCTTTTTTCGAATATTGATCATAATGTTGTAAGAATCGACAAAAAGAAAAGACTATGAACTATAGAAATGTTTTTTATTTTCATATTTTTTATAAGAGATACAAAATAAATATGAAATAAATTTTACTTTTACTTGTACATAATAAATTGAAATAATGTTCAATCATCATCTGATGAGTTTTCGTAAGTCTTTTAACATAAATATGTTGTAATGAAGACACATTATTGTCGCACCATTTTCGTTCAGTCTCTGGTAAAAATCTCATTAATGATTAAATCATTTTTCATGCCCCCTTTCCATAGATTATATCATTTTCACCACCACAGGACAATCGAAACACGTTCATATTTAACGTAAGCAGCATCAATTCCTTGTTTATTTGCGCTAATTTTCGGAAAAAAAGCTTAAGTAGAATTATGCCTTTATTCCGCCAATTCTGTCAATTAACTCTTGGTAAATACACATAAAAATAAGAAACGAAAGTTTTTTGTCAGAAAGAATTTTATATCTTATTATATAAAACACAAGTATATTAAATTTAATTAAGAATTAATAGAGATTTATATTTATTAGAAATATATAATAAAGTGTTTGCTTCTTTCTTTCAAAATTAAAAAAACTTTTTATTTAACTGTCTCTAAGCACTATTATTATTCGATCGTCGATCTCATTTTAATAGTTTACAATAAAAAAGTCAAACTGAAGGATTCCTTTTTTTAGAAGTTAATTTTTATATTTTTCTTTAAACAACTCGTACTTTTTTTTTACTGATCACTTGTAGATTCATTTTCGATCGTTCACATTCACGTTTTCATCGATGCTTCATGTGAACATACACGAATTCATCACATATTAAAAGCTAATAAAAAAGAGCAAAAAAGGAAATACTCATTCGCCCGTCGGCTTCGTAATTTCACTTTCTACCGTGTACTTTCGATTTTAGGCCTGGCTGACCGATTGGCCGGAAAAAAGCCGCTCTCTTAGTCATCGTCGAGTTCTTATGATTATCGCGTTCACTCAACCGACGACGTCGCAACAGGGTGCTACGTCTGTTTGCGCATTTAAAAGTGTTTAAATGACTATCTTTTATATCATATCTTGAACAAGTACACTATAAAAATTTCTAGCTCGTTTAATTCTGTTAATTTAATTATTGAATTGTTGCATATAATACAGTATTTTTTCGTGAAATAAAAAAAAAGATTTTTTAATAATTTCTGAGAAAATTTCTGTAATTGAAAATTTATAAGAGAGAACATTTTAAAATAAGAAACATATTTTCGTTTTTATATCTCAAATGTTATAAGTGGTAATAAATTGTAATGAATGTTATAAATTGTAAATATTATAATTGTATAACATCTTTTTATAATGGATTAGGGAAAAAGTCTTTTTACAAGTTTTACAATACCTTTCCCTATATATATATATCAGTATCTTCGTTAAAAATAATTAAAATTTAAATTTAAGAAAAGGATTTTAAAGTTTGAAATCTTTACTTTCGAATAATTACTATATTTTTTGAATTTATGTGAGTTTCGTAATTTTTACATATAGAAAACTACGAGCTGAAAAAATGAAAAATTTTCTTTGCACTTTGTAGGTCTGTAGCGTGCCCAAAAAAAATTTCAGCAAATTTTCGATTATCTATTGTGAAAATTTGAAACTTTCCCTGAAAACCAAATCGTTTTTTAAAGATATTCCTACGATTTTTCATTCCTGAGTTACTCGCGGATTAAGTAAAAAGGAACACTTTGATTTTATTGCTCGTAACTCTGTTAAAAACACAAGCCCACAAAAAAGTATCCTGTACTGGGATGGAGACTTAACTATTCTTATGTATTTTGAGTCGCTGAATACGAATCTGACAAAAAAATAGGATCATCCTGAGCAAATTTTCAATCTAGAGTAAAAGAATGGGTCAAAAAACCTCGAAATCTGCTTTTATTGATATATTCTAAGATCATTGGCAAAAACTTGTGATTAAACCTAGACCATATGTTTCCTGAGTTGAGAAATACTTTTCAGTCGTCAAGAAATACTGTAGATACTGAACTAGGCTTGTGTTGGAAGCGATCCACTCACGTTTGTGTTAACAGTTTGTGTTGAATTTTCTAACATATTCGAGTGTTAATTTAACATAATGTGATTATGTTATTTAAAGATTTCTTGTGAAATTGATATTCAATGTTTCTTAGTGTTAACATAACATAATTTATGAGTATAAGTGAACAAGTAACGTAAAAATAATGTGTTTTAAAACGTAAGTTTTAAGACAAATGAATGAAATATGTATTAATTTAACATATCATAAATGTCAATTTTCTTAAAAAAAAAAAATGTTCCACAGTTTGTTTACAAACTGTGTCGATGTTATCTTTCTTTGTATTTATTCTGTTACATAATATTTATGTTACTTTCTAATATATTCATCTTGTGTAAAATTAACTCAAAAATTTGAGTGGACCGTTTGGGACACGCGATTTACGTTAAATTTAACACATTTTTTCCAACTGTGTATTCAGTGACTCAAAATACATAAGAATAGCTGGGTCTCCACCCCAGTACAGGATATTTTTTTTTATGGGCCTATGAAATCATCGTATCTCAATTAAAAATACAGTTTCTCAAAGCTGAAACGTTGCTCTATGAAGTGGTGTAATTACCAATTTTTTAAAAATAAAATGTATGGGTTGTTAAAAAAGTCCTTTTACTAATTTGTAAAGGGACTTTTTCCCTAACCCGATATTTTACGTGCAATATAATATTATTAAAATTTTTAACAATCTTTTATTATCTATGAAAAAAATGAATGTAAAGTTTATCTGAAATAAATTTTAAGCAGATTTAAATATATAAGTAGGATTTGATTTACAAATATGCATATGTAAGTATTTAATCCAGATAATCTCAAAAAATTTATATGATTAATTGTATGCTCTTTATATATTCTTTATATTAATTTTAATTTTTGACTATTCTTAGATTTTGCAAATTTGAATAATACATATAAAATTGATAGATCTTGTTTCTTCTATCGATTCATTATAATAAATTATTAATACTAATGAGTAAATTTTTGTATTAATATTAACATACAATCGATATTTTCAGCTCCTGGAGTAACGTCATGCCCAAGAACGAACAACTTGTCGGAATATGATAAATGTGTTTTAAAGCAATTACAAGCCCTTACGCCATATCTCGCCAAGGGAGTACCTTCTTTGAAACTACCAGCTTTAGATCCATTGTTTCTACCATCCTTGACTATAGATAGAAACCTAGAATCCTTGAAAATCAGGGCTAACATGAGCCAGATTCGCGTTTACGGCGGCACGAATTATGTCATGCAGGAGCTCAAAGCGAATCCTAATGATTTAACGATTTCCATAAAGGCTCGAATGCCTCATATGTATGTAAGCGGCGATTATGATGTTCAGGGCAGGCTGTTGTTGCTGCCTCTAAGCGGCGTTGGTAACTTTAAAGGAAATTTCAGTAAGTTTTCTAAGAAATAAAATTTGAAATGAGTCGTGCATAAATGAAGCATATAAAATAGGCGAGTAAAATCGAATCACCGAGCGATGGTTCGAAATTTCAAACTTATTTGGTTTCGAATCTCTCACAACGGATCATCTCGAGTTGTAAGTTAATGAAAATTCTTGATATCAATAAAAATTGATAGCATAAGATGTAAGTTAAGAAAAAATGACCATATAGGTCGTAGGTTTCAAGAAATTTAATGCTAATGCCCCACACTGAAGAAAAAGATCAGCTGCTGCAGCAAATTTGATAGTAAAATATAGCATAGCATTTTTAATTGGCTGCAGCAGCCAATTTTTGGTAGCAACAGCCAATTTTTGATTGTATTAGTCAATTCGCAATGTCAGTATAGGATTCTGGTAGGTTAACACAACTAAAAATTGGTTGCTGCAACCAATTAAAAATGCTGTACCATATTTTACCATCTAATTTGCTGCAGCAGCCAATCTTTTTTTTTCAGTGTAACGATACTGTAACTTTCAAATATCATAACTCGGAAAGTTCTTATGAAGAAAAGGTTTATAATCAGTGTTCTAGTAACGTCTTAACGTCAGCTATAAATTTTGTGTTGACCTTGAAAGCACTTTCCGAGGTCATTCGAAGTCAAATTAATATCATCATCTGATAGCTTTTTAAAAACCCTATTATTTTTGTTTCAAACATTTTTTAAATAAATCAATATTTTTTGAGATATTAGCCGTTCCAGTTTTTTTATCATACACTGTAATACCAAATTTCTTGGAACCTACGATCTATACGGTCTTGTCTTTTTTGTTAATTTATATTTTATGCTGTTAACTTTTACTGACATCAAGGAATTTCATCAACTTGTTATACAAACCGAAATGGTCCCTTCAGATTCGAATTCGAACTAATTTGCACACCTTTAATTTGAATGATTAAAACAATAATTGATATAAAAGTAGTTGAATATCAGTTACTTAATATACTAATGTATAACATTTAAAAAATTATGTTTTTTCATAGTCATCTTTCCATTCCAGCTAACACTGATGCCCAAGTAAACGCACAAGCCAAGGAAGTTATTGATAAAAACGGCGTGCAACGGATCGAGATCGATAAGTTAGTTACTAAAATCCGTGTCGGTGATGGAAATATTATACTAAAAGCACCTCCTGCACACACGTTAGCCGGTATGAATTACGTACATCTTATTTAAAACTTTAACAGTTAATAATTGTATAAGAGGAATACGTATTTGATACAATACTACTATATTTTAGCCGATGCAGCTGCAACGTTCTTTAACTCGAATCCCCGTCTAGTCTTGGAAATAGCCAGTCCAATTATTGAGGATACAGCAGCAACTGTCAGCAAAGCTCTAGCTGCTAGAGCACTTAGTGTTCTCACTAAACAAGAACTCGTCCCCTAATCCTTAAGTAGTCGAGTTTTGTTCGGTATATTGTTTGGTCTTTCATAAAAAAGAAAGAATAGAAAAAAGCGAATAGTTCGATGAATATTTTAGTCGATCTGATTTAGTTTTTATCTACTTCTTCATCGCGCATCGTGATAATATTCACCGGGCAATCGGTGAGGTATGTAGAATTGTTACTTTATGTCCAAAGAAAATATTATATTTTTTAATTAATTAATCACCTTGTGCAGTTTTAGAGAGACATTCTCACACTTTTGTATGCGAAAGGCATTGAAATGTTTATTCTTTTATATAGCAGGATTACAATAGAATATACAACTCATTATATATAAATTGATTAGCTGACGTTTATTTGATAAATTGTTATTTACATATTTGCTTGTTATATCTAATTTCATTAAATGTGATAGTTAAAAACTATCTTGCATATCATATATGTATATTGTATACGATCAATAAAAGTAATATTGTAATTACAGAACAGTGTCTTCTAACAATTGTTTAAATTCAATTAAATCATATGTATATAAAATATGTTTGATATAAGTTATAATCACATATTTCATTTCTTCATTAAGTTAAACATAATTCCTAAATTTAAACGTAATTCCTAAATTTGCAAATTGTCCAAGGAAAGAAAGAGAGAGAGAGAGAATTCTAAAATTAAATAACTAATAAACGTACAATGGCTCAAAATAATTCTAATAAAACAATCAAGATTAAGAATTGCTAATAAAACAATTTAAAAACACAATAAGAGCCAGCGCGAGTATTGACGCGCAACTTAAATTTTATTACAAATGATATTGTAAATGTGTCAATCACTAGTTGTAATAAAATTTAAGTTGCGCAACAATATCCGCGCTGGCTCTTATTGGTGTGTGTTTTTAAAAATTGATTTATTAGATTTATTCTCAGAATCATGGTGGAAGAAACCAAGAAACTTAGGTATGTTACTGCACATTTTGAACATCAGAAGAACGATATCTCCAGATGCCGCCGTGGTAAAAAATTTTTCATGCATAAATATGTATAAATATGTATTAATATTAAATATATTTATACATATTCATGCATAACAAACTTTTTTACCGGGTGAAGTTATTTGAAGTTGGCGTTATGTCAAAGTTTATTCACGTTATGGCAAGCATTCTCCTCATTTTAACATTAATGTCTTCTCTTTCTGAAAACAATAAAACTGTACATTTTTGGATTTTTCTTTTCCATAAATATTTTTACACGTTTTTATTTGACACGTTATACTCATTTTTGCGATATGTCATTTCAATTAAATTAAAGTTACCACGACAACTGTTTAAATATGGCCGCATCCGGTATCTGCGCAGAATCGTACGAAATTCGTCTAGAGAACGAGCACACACCTGGTTTTTTCTACCATGCTCAAGCGTTATACATATGTTAATTATTTATTCAATTTTACAATTCTTTCTCTCTCTCTCTCTCTCTCTCTCTCTCTCTCTATTAGAAGAAAAATATATACGTGAATATTTTGAAAAGTTATAGTTTTACAATTACATTATCGAAATCGTTAATATTAAAATTCAAGAAAAACTAATAAGTTATATAATATTAACTGTCATGATTCATCTTACTTTATTCATTCGTCTTATTACCATTGCTAACGCTCACTTAGAATGAATAACAAAGTGATTATCGTAATCAACGGATGTAAAACCAGATCTCATAATTCTAAGAAACTCATACTGCGTACTGCTATTATTCTAAAGCTTCTATTCGCCTTGCAATTCTTCACAAGCATTTACATAATTTTAATATATAAAAATTTATTACTGTGTAATATTCAATCGAAGTCACGAATGTATGTATATTTTTGCATTAAAATTCTATATTATAATGTGCTTCTTCTCTATACAGCATATTTTATTCAAGAGACATCCAGGGAATGTCCCTAGAATGTTCATAGGACGATTTGAGGTTTGTGCTGTATGGTTAATAACTTTAATTATATAAACTTTAATTTAATATTTTTTCATATTTTAATTTTTATAAAAAATGATATTTTTTAAATTTAACATTTTCTTTTAAAATACTTTAAAATTTGTTTATATACAAATTGCGAAAAAAGTATCGAAAAGAGGTATTTCAAAATTCTCAAATATTGTGACAATGAAAAAATTTTGAAATAAATGTTTTAAATAAAAGTTTTGTAATTAATTTCAGTAGAAGAATATAATATGTCACATTTCGAGCAAAAGAGAGTGTAAATGGAGAAATTGTAGCGTTTTAATGTATAAGTTCTTCAAAGATTCAAACTTTTATGTATATGAACAACTTACATTAAAAACTAATTGTAAGAATATTACGCTACAATTTCTGTGTTATTCTCTCATTTGTCCGAAATTTGTCTGTTTTTTACTTCCAGAGTTTCTACGAAGTTTTACTTCTGTTTAGAATATAACATGTGTAAGAAGTTTTATATAATATATCTATTTGAAATCTTTTTTGAAAAAAAAATTTTGTTGCCGAAGCTCTGAAAATTCTGACACTTTTTCTATGTGTTAAATACTAACAAAATGCTACATAATTACACATTTAATACTTTTAATGTAATACAAACTAATAAAATAATTCAACTACTGTAATAGTTATTTTAAAAAATAAGTAACTCATAATACCTGTCTAGTAAAAATTTTTTTGCATGAATATATATAAATATAAACATACATAAAAAAGGAATATGTATGGACTTATTTCATTTATAATTATATATGTTTATGAATATTTATACATGTTTATGTATGTTATATACATACTATGTATTCATGCATAAAAAATTTTTTACCGGATGTTTTAGACACTGAATTAGTAAATAAAAAATTAATTACAATATCTAAAATATTTCTTTAAGAATTGTACATTGAGAATTATGTGATATTATTAGAGAAGATGGTATTATGACACCCTATTTACATTTTGTACAATAACTTGTTTAATAATCAATATTTAAATTTAAAATTTAACAATTGCATTTGTTAAAATGTTGTTCAATCGATTTTAAATTCAAAGTTACGAAACATTTATTACTTAGCTTCGCTATTTATAAAAATGTGACGATACTACATAATGATTCGAAGAGAAACAGAGGTGGTAATATCATTATATCCAGTGTGCAATAGGTATAAATCAGATAGTTTGGGAAAATATGGGTGTTCTAGGCAAAAGTCTGTCACAAGAGCCCCAACCAAATATGAAATTTAGTGTATGGAATTCCATACATTTAATCATTCAGTGTATGAAGTACTCCGTACCAACCACAGTGGTTTCGCCGCCCATGCACACTATTGTTTAATTTTTCATAACTCGAAATGTATGCAGCCAAGCTAAATAACAAAGAACACACTCAAACATACATAATATTTGTGTGATAATACATTCAAATTTAAGAAGAATGAGGAAGTATGTGTAATTAAATGCTAAAATGTACCTTGAAAACATTTCAAAATGTTTGAAAGTATAAATGCGTTATAAAAAAAATAAATGTTGACTATTGTGTATTGGCACATTAGCGTCGTGATATAACGGCGAGCTACTAAGCAAATAATTTTATAAGTAATCACTAGAATTTGCCACTTATAATAGCGAAGATAAGAGGGCAGTGACGGATTAACGCATTGGCAAACGAGGCACTTGCCTGTGGCGGCAAATTTGAGGGGGGGCGGCAAATTTTTGAAGACATAAAATTTTCACACGGTTGAGATAAATTTTTAATTTGTTAATCTAACGTTTTTGTATAAGTTACACCGAGCATATTTTATCAGAAACGATATCTTTTAACTATACAGTTAAAAATGTATTATATTTATATTATTTAAGGATTATTAAATATTGTAACCAACTAATGCGGGGGTATAAATCTTTTTTTATCCATTTTCCTTTTATCAAATTTATAAATTAATGAGCCACGTGGGGGCGGCTAGATGTTGGTGTCTAGGGGTGACAAAATGCTTAATCCGTCACTGTAAGAGGGGCCATTGTACCTGTACTAGCTATATAATACCACTTTCTCCTCTACAGTTCTCTTAATACTTAAATTTGACTCCTAATAGATTATTGATAATAAATTTGGGATTAAAGTACAATAATTAGACCATCTGCTGAGATGTTAGTGCATAATTTTTTTAAAAAATAGATCGCAAAAAGATTTTCTTATTGTAATTTTTGCAAAACAATTGAAATGTCAATTTCAAAACAGTTAAATGCAATATGGGCTTGTATATTATATTAGATATGTATGTGTTATGAGACATCACCAAAAAAGAGAGCTGCAGAAATATTACAGAACTGCTATAGTTTGATAAAAATTTTAGATAAGGTTGAAAGTTTCCCAAAAAATAAAAAGAACAACGTCTAAACCTAAACATTTTAGAATAAAGAAAAAACAACGTATCAATCTAATTGAATTGTTAATATTAAATCCCCAGAATAAAAAGATTAATTATTCGGGAACAAATCGTCGTATGTGAACTTTAAGGTGATCTTGTTTGCAATTCTTGTGAAGAGATCTGACAAGCTATCTTCTAGTACTGGTTTTATTTCATCTATTATGAAGTCGCTATTTGAATTCAAAATTTCGTTGCTCGCTGATCCTGGTTTAAAAGGAAGAAAATTATCGTGGTGCAAATGTAATGACGCTTGTACTTTCAATAAGTTTCTCGAAATATAGAGATATATTGTATGAAATAGTAACATACCAAGAACAGAATCGCCACCAAATAGATTTTCAAAATTGAGTACAGCTTTGTTTATTTTGATTTTAATTTTCATCTTTTCAAAGTTCACATATGTATTGTTATTTTTAACAATTTTTTGACTTTTCATCAAACAGTCACTATCGTAACCAACTGCAAAATATATAATAAGTTAAACAGAGAATATTAATGTAAATTTTTCGCATTATCTTTTTCAGCGAATATGGAAATAATTTCGTTATCACAATATTTTAATAATCATAAAAGTTTGTATAGGACTTACGGAAAGATCCAGTGAGATCTCCATCTCCAACTATGTTCAGCAAAAGAATTTGTGCATTTATTTGATATTTTCTTCGGAAGTCAAGTTTTTGGAAGCCAACTTTGAAAGTAATAAACACATTATCCGGGTCAATTTTTAAATCTCGGATTTTAAACATTGATGGCCCAAATATCTAATGTGTGAACATAAGAATTTTTATTAAAAAGTATTATATAAAAAATTTTTCATGCATGAGTATGTATAAATATGTATAAACATACACAAATACTCTTAAACATGTATAATCATATACGAGTTAGTATGTCCATACATGTTCATACATCACTCTTTCTTTTGTGAAATTATTTTTTAATGTAATAGAAATAATAATAATAATTTGAAAACATTAAAAATAATTAAAAGAGTAATTTTCACACTATTTGTTTTAGAACAAATCAAGTTTGAAGAAATGAAAAAAATTATTTACGTATAATTATAAATAAAATTATGCATAATTGTGTATGAGCAATTTTTTCAAACTTATTTTTTTCTAAAACGAACAATGCGAAAATTATCCCTTTAATTATTTTTTATGTTTTCACATTACTATTATTATTTCTATTACACTAAAAAGTAATTTTCCAAAGAAAGAAGGATGTATGAACATATATGGATATATTTCATATATGATTATATACGTTTATGAATATTTATGTATGTTTATATGTATTTATAAATATTCACACACACATGCATGAACAATTTTTTACATTATAATCAATAAAGAGTACGAGCAGTTTTTTGAAAGAAATCGAGTATATATTAAAAATATACTTTAAAAGTACATTTTCATTAAAATGCATCATTTACTTAAAACGGCTTTTAATCAGGGTTGGATAGTACTAAGTTAAAAAGATAAAAGTTAAGTTAAAAAGTTAATTAATTTTAACTTAACTTAATTACATTTTAGACTCTTAACTTTTTTAACTTAATTTAGTTACATTTTATCGGTAATTATTAACTTTTAATTTGATTTTTCCAAGTCAATCTTCAGACACAATGCGAGAGGATCACGCGATGACTTTAGTACAAGTTTCATTTTAAATGAAGAGTAGTTACAAAATCATAAATTTTCTGCTTTAGAACAAAAATTATATAAGAAAATAATGTTTTCAAAGCAGGAAATTCATTTTAAAGCAGAAAATTTTGGTTTTATAAAGCAGAAATGAAACATTATTTTTTAATAATCTAAACTTTTTTTATTTATAACTTTTTAACGAGTAACGTCCGACGGCTAAAACTTCCTCAAAGTCATTCAGGGCGATATATGTCAAGGTCAAGGTCATTGGGGGGGGGAGGCTCCCCTAAACTGTATATTTACCAAAAACGCAAAGCTTTAATATAATTACCTGTATATTTGTAAGGTTGACATCGAGCCTTGCAGCTTGAGGACCTCTCAATAGCCGTATATGTTTTAATGTAAGCGGTTCCATTGCTGGAACCTCTAATTCTGGAATTCCTGTCTTCAATTTGCTTCGTAATTGCTCAATTGAATTTAATACACAATTATTTATGTCTGGATCCTTTCGATTACATATTTTTATGTACGATGCTGTGAAAAACACAAAACTGATTTATGAATTTTCTCTAAAATATAAAACTATTCTAATAATATTTTATAAATCTTACAACAAATAATACATTCATATGAGAGACAAAGAGTAAGATAATAATAATTGCTATTAGTTATAGTAGCATTTTTCTCGTGAAAAGAAACTATGTTTCTATATATTTATAATTTACTAATATATACATTATATTCAGAAATATCATAAATTATAAATGTGTTTGAATAGAGTTGAAATAAAATTAATGAACGCACTACTTATCAAGCTTTTTGAACAACTTTAAATAAATCATCTTTATCTTTAAAATCACTTTCAAGCAATAAATATATTAAAATAAAAAAAGAAAATTACATTTATACCTAATAAGTATTTAATAAGACAAAGTAAATTTAAAAATCTACATGTAAAAGATTTAAGAGATTTGAAAAGAGAAAATGAGAGTAAAAGATGTAATGCTAAAAAGTATAAAATTTTTGATGTACTCTTATGTAGACCGATATATTAATTATGTATTGTATTATTTACCTCGAAAAACATTGCCAATTGCAATGAATTCAAGTATTATATATTTATGAAAATATATTTATGTGTTTTATTATGTGATTTGAGCAAGTAAGATAGTGTTTAGTAATTAGTAATCGTGATTCTAAATTAATTTGTAAATTAATTTATCAGAAAAAAATTGATCATGATTTTGATTTATGTACTTTTTTTTTAAGCCTATTAATAATAATTAATTGTTTTGACAGGTGGAAGAACTAAGTATTATTTCTAAAACATTAGTGCTCGCTTATTATGTTCGATGAGTTTGAATTTAAAACTAGTTATGTAAATGGAGGCTTAATTTTTATCTTTAATTTTAAAAGTGTTTTATAAATATACATACAGTTCTATTAGATAATTATTACTTTTATAAGTATACATACAGTTCTATTAGATAATTATTACTTAGATAACTATTACTTCAAACGCAATCGTAGACATAAAATTATAAAATAAAGCACATGTGCTTTTCATTGTGGGAAATAATTTTATTTTATGGGGATTAATTCAAGGTTAATTAAATATTATACATGACGATATGGCATTTACATTTCTGTTCACGATACTCGTTTACGGATAAATGCCGATCGGCATTTAGGCTGCGCGCGGGTTGGTGAAGTGAGGGGCAGAAATCATGCTGAAAATCGGCCGAAATGTGCAACTAATCCCAGCTCTGACCTACAGGGTAAACAAGGACATCTATTGTATAGGCCGCGGCCTAAATGCACGGTGTAAACGTAGTCATTGAAAAACATTGCTGTTTTCATTATCATATAGCGAATTCGATTGGACGCACTCAATGCTGGTGCACATTAAAGCCGTCGTACGCAAAATAACGTAAAGATATTTATAAATAAACATAGAAATTGATTAAATCATGAAATACTTAATACATTTTATTGTACTATTAGGTAAAATATGTATTTCATAATTCGAAATATTTGCATTTCATTTTTATACTCAAATTAAATTAGTGTACAACGGCTTTAATATGCATCAGTGCGCACTAGTTCTTCCAATCGAATTCGCCATTAGATATTAATTTTTACCCTGTTTTACATAACAAACTCATATCTTAAGTCACATTAAATATTCGCACGGATAAAATATTTCTTATTATTGTTGCTAATATAATGCATATATCATTAAGATAAATCACCTTAAACATGAAAAACTTCTCCTGACATGTACGGAGAGAATTTTTTCTTAGAGTTTACCCTGTGGTAATTCTGGGGACTATGTTCTGGGAACATTGTATTTCGAAGAATTATATGTATTTCTATCATTAATTAATAAAATCTACAATCAAATATAAAGTTTGATTAATTGTACTGATGTGCCTCAAGGTAAAAATCTTTAAAATATTGTATTGTACCACAACTACCATATTTTCAAGGTAAATTGTAAAAGATAATTCTCTCCGTGTATCACGTAACACATATGTGTTTTGATAACTTAATGATTAGATAATTCATCTAGTCTTTAATTTTATAATGCAATAGTGTATTATTTTATAGCTATTATTTAATTCCTATTTTTAAGTCTTCATCGATACATAAATTGGGTACAACTAATTGTAATTAAAATTGGCGTTTTTTCATAGGACTTAAATACGAAAATGAACATACATATTTATATATGTTATAATTAATTAAATTCAATTTATATATTGAAAAGGCTCAAAAATAGGAGTTGATGTTTAACTTATTGTATAATCTATGTAATAAATATATTTATACATGTTCATTCAATGTTGGCTCTTATTGGTAATATTAACTTATATTTCATTTCTGAAGAACCTAATACTACTTATATTGTTTTATTACTTTATCTATGATTATAATCTGTAAATAATCAAACGCAGAACACACATAGCATACATACTTTAGCATCTATAACGTTACTCACGTATCTCGGCGAAGGTCACAGCAAAGAGTGCGCAGGCCACACTGAAATAAAAGATCATTAATCGATACAATAGTTCCGTTTATTAATATTAATAAGCTAATAAAATTTCTGAAGGTCTGTTTTCCTTTCGAGATATGAAATGATTGTTATATAAATAATTATAAAGCAGGATATTTTAATATAAAATGTATTTCAGATGTATCGTATTATCTAATGATAGTTTTCTGTTATTACTTTAAGACGAAATTGTTATAACCAAAATATTGAAAATGTGAAATTGTAATAATTTTTAAATGGAAATATAAATTGTTCAAAGCTCGCCTGCTCAAGCACGACATAATGCAAACTGCTCTCAAATATTAATTTATCGGTTATTATCGATCAAAATTATTTTATCATGTAAAGGATATTAATGTTTATGACACATTCGACATGTGACAACTTCGAGAATTTAATACGCATCACATTTTATCAATATTATGGAATATTTACGCAACTAGTGTTACATAAAATTTATGTTTCTGCTAATATTATGAGCGAACATAGCAAACAAATCAGTTAAAGATAAATGAAACAGTCGACGAGTTTTGATGTCACTATGTATACAGATTTATGTCAATATTGAAAAGTGGAATGTGGAATCTAAATGCTGCTTCGCTACTTTATTTGAACATGCGAACTTCAAGCCTGATTGATCAGTTTTGACATCCATTTAAAAATTATTATTTCGAAATTAAAATTTTGCATAAAAAAGGATATAATATTATTTTTAAAGAAGTAAATATAGATAATAAAGTACCCTGCAGGTGGAAAATTTCTATAAATAAGGACAAATTTTAATGCTAAACAACGTGCACATGCAGAAAAATACGCAATACTACGACAGTTGAATTTTTGTATGAGTCTCGTAAAAATACATAAAAATATGTACGAAAAATTAGTAGTTAATTTTCTGATGCTATATTATTAATTTTTATGGAATAGGTGTAGGATTTCTTAATTTTTCAAACAATGCCACGTTCTTTATGTCTCACTATGAATACAGTTACAAAGAACTAAGAATTTTTAAGACAAGCAATGTCACTATGAATTACTATGAATATCTACGAAAGACTAAAAATTTCTCAGATTTTGTCTCAATCTATAACAGTTTTTCTGTACCTTTTCGTAAAAATTTTCCGCCAAAATAATAAATTATTTTAATAACTTTTTATAAAAAAAATAAAAATTTTAATAAAAGGAAATAATGAAATAACAATTACTTCAAATTGTAAGAGATCATAATTAAATATTGGCATAAAAACTTGACAAAAACTCGTACATTCAGATGAGAATGTTTAAACTAGAGGAGGGGAGGAGGGCAGCAATTTAAAATGAATATTTAAAACGAGCTGGAGCAAAAGAAGATTAACAAAATATACAGCTTTATAAAATGCTGGATAAATATTTCTTAAAAATAAGAGAAGAAAATAAATGTATTTATTATAAAAAGGAACATTAAAAATATATAAATTACGTTAAATATACATTTACTTTTGACTGATTTTAACTGAGAATTAAATAAAAGGATACAAAATGTTATTATTTTATTTTTAACTTAATAGCGGTGTTATTTAAAAGTGAGATCAAACAAGGTAAACTACTTAAACATAATTAATAAATATTTACATGATAGAAGAATTTAATGAATTTTTTTTACAGAACACACTACATAAACAGTAGATCTTTGCTTGCTTCTTACAAGGAGCAAAGTAAATAATCGTCATGCCTAACATACGTGCAGATTTTATATATCATAGTAAAATGGCCTCGTCTGAGTAAAAAAGGTAAAAAAGTCGTTAACTATTCATTGCAGCCACTCAATATATATTATGCTATGAAGCTTAAAATACGATTTGTAAAAGTTTTGTATTATTATTTAATAGAACCATACTTATGTTTATTGAGATATACAATTTCTTTCTAGTAATAGAACTGATAAAAACGTCTGTAAAGAATAAAACGTACATTAAGTATATATATTTAATTTTTTTTAAGACAAAGATTAAAATCTGTAAAGTTTATATGTGTCGTAAGTATTATAATTATATTCTTTTACCTTTATGGAAGAAATGTGTAGATAACTCAAAGAGAGTAATATATTCAAATCATGATCAAAAGATTTATAAAATTATTTTACAATTGATATAAATAATTTGAAAGTATTTTTTTTAAGTTGTTCTCCTTTTTGTAACAGTAGCAGGGAAAAAGAAAAAAGCAAGACATGAAAGATGGAATGAAAATTGAAAAAAATAAGCGACATGCAAAAAAATATTTTGCTGCTTCAACTAGAATTATAGCTGTTTTTTGTATCTGATGATAGAAAATTGTGTCTCATACACGTAGAATTTATAGTACAAATCTAAATTCTATCTCTGTCATCTATATGATTAGATGCAATATCCAATATCTCAATACTTGCTAGAAATTTATCTATTTTAACTATTCTTCGTACTTAGATAATTTTCGCTATAACTGCAAGATCATCTTTTGTGTGGAAGAGGGAAGATTAAAATTCTAAATCAATGAAGTGAAATAAAAAGGGAGAAACTGGACAAGAATATGAGCTTAAGAACAAAGAGGTTAGAATAACTTACATAAATAATAGTGAATAAAGAAATTGCAGCGTGCAAAAAAGTTAATGAAGATGCTAATTTGAATGATATAAATTGAACAAGAAATTATGAATTTTCTTAATAAGTACTTCTGTAAGTTCCTCTGTTTTTCTTAATAAGTATATATTATATATCTCTGTTTCGTTTGAAAAGTTATTTTATTAAAATAAAAGTTATTTTGTTAATATCTTAATAAAAAAAAAATGGTTTTACTTAATCAATATAATTAGTAAAGTATTTTAATTCTATGGAATTCTACTTTTTCATAATTTTACTACTAATTGGAGAGAAATTTCCGTATTTCTCAATAACTGTGAGATCGACATGACATGTTCTAGCAAAATTCTGTTTTTACATTTAACATGTACCTATTAATTACCGCACGTAAGTGTATAAAAAATTTAGGTTAATTATAAGCTCAGTAAATACGTGATTATAAAAATTAAGTAAGAAACATTTCGTTTACATTTAATTTACGCAATTGATTCAAAACATAAGACTTTAATTAAAGATGTCATTTTTTTACAAAAAAATTGCACTTAAATGCACATAAACTTATGTATATATAATAGACTTATGCCCATATTCATAGTTCTTATATTTAAGCCTTCCTTAAATTTATTTTCAGATGCTCTACGAATTATTTTATTGGTTACTGAGCATCTAAAGATAAATTTAAGGAAGCCTTAAATATAAGGTCTGACTATGAATACTGGCATTAGTCATGTAAACACAAATATGTGACATAATATCCTTTATATCGCCACTTCAAAATTATTCATAAATTCAATTTTGTGGTATTTATTCAATGAAAAAATCAAAGACTTTACGCTTTCAATCAAATACTTATAAATAATTAATAGTACATTAGTTATTTACCACACTTGTGGTCACGTTATACATATTAAAATTGAATTGGTATTGAACGGATAATGTTTAATTAAATTCTAAAAGGAGACTTTAAAAGAGTCACTGTGTGTTGCAGAAGAATTATCATATGTTTTGGTTATCAAAGATGTCCATTAATATGAAGAACGACAATCTAGAAATAGAAATTTATTGGATAAAAATAGTTTTGTTGTGCAGAACCATAACAATAATATTGCAGTTTAATATTAATATTAAATATTAACTATGTTAGTATATATTAATCATGTAATTATTAATTATTTTTTAATGCTCTAAAGAAATAAAACACAAAAGCATTAAATTACCAATCAGTTTGATTAAAATATTTTTAAATCTTTTTAATCTGGTTCTATTAAAAGCATTCGAGATTTGCTTTGAGTTACGACTTAATTGGATCAAAATAAGTCAAGCGTCTGCAAGTTTCTTTGTACACAATACCCATCAGTAGCCATAATTTCTCTTTACTTATATACATATATGACAAATGATCTTCGTATTCTAACTCAATTTATTCTAACTTGATCTGATAAGCACTGACAGCCACTAGCATCTATAATTTATTATCAGAAATTATGATACATTTATATGACATGTTGATCCAATTCTGAAGATAATTCTTGGCTACACCCGACACTAGATTTCTTCCGGTGCATCCTTAATTAATATTAAAAATCAAGAAATAATTTTTTATCAAGATAAGATGATGTTCACGTATATAAAATATTTTTATAAAGGAGAGTGTTAAAAAAAGTGCCAATTTTGCCCCCAGAGTAGCAAAGATGGTATGGCTTTTTGTAGTTTTTGAGCTGAAAATGTAGTTAATATGTAATTTTCATACTCTTTAACGAAACTCATTGTATCAGAAAACACAATGATTTCGTTAAATTAAATTTGACATTGAAAAGGATCCGAATCAAGGATTGAAACGTTTGTCTGAGAGATTAAATAAAAGAATAATTATTTCACAAGATCTAATACATGGTTCACAAAGGCATTAATTTATTGATCGATTCATCTCAAAGGAGCTTTGATTCAACGTAACTTAATTTATAAAACCTTCAAATCCTAAAAATATAAAATAGATATTTTTCTTTTATTTTTGCCTTAAAAATACGTAAAAATAAAATTTCTTTTTTAAACATTTAATTACTTTAATTTGTTACATATAACTGTGCAAGGTGCAAGTATCATAGTAAACACAAAATTTTTAGATACATAGATCTTTTTGTTAAAAAAAATCATAAGAATTGTTTATTTTTTATCTATTTAAATGAGAAAACCCTTTACAATTAAGGCTAATATGTATAATAAATGACAATTTACCAGATGCGAATGATGGAAGTGTACATGATAGTCAGCCCAGTTGAGGATCAGAGTTTGTTGACGACTGCAGGAGGTGTTGGTTGACAATGATCAAGGATGTGATAGCTACAGCTCGAAGGTTTCGCCAACTAACTTGGTTGACGGTGCTGTTACATTCGGCTGGTTGATAGCCTCGTGCTACTTGCCGACCATTGGTCCAGCCTTGGATAAGCAGTAGTGACGATTGGATACATTCGTTGATTTTTATTTCTCGGGAAATCATGCACCAATATCGGTCTTTTCACCAGGTCGTTTTCACTCGTCCTTTCCCTCCTACTCTTCTTTCGTCTTGGCTTTTTACTCAAATAGATTCGTGGACCTGTGTGCGCTTGGCCAAATACCGCTGTTATTTTCTCAGCCTTTCGCAGACGGGCTGGAAAGCGAAAGGAACCGGCAATACGGGCGCAAATCGCCCGCTATTTCGAAGTGCGTTTCGTAGCCGATGTATGTACTGAGTCGACGTTGACGTTTCGTAATTTCTTGCTGGAGTTGCAATCCAAAGCATATACAGTTAGAGAAATTAATTGTGCAACAAATTTTTCCATCATTACTACGATCCGTGAATAAGGGTGAAGTGTCACGAAATATAAGGAAGGGATAGTACTGTAACTTCATTATGCTTACAATAGTATGCTTCGAACTATAGAGATATCGATCAAAATCGCTTCTATGTTTTGCATCGTATGTATGTTATATTTAAAATTTATATTGCCGATTTGATTTTTTGGTGCAAGAGGAATACATTTTTGCACTACAGATTTTAACATATAATTTATTCCGCATAAAATTCTCTTTCATATATTGCTTGTTTTTTATTTATATCACTAGTACATAAAATAATTTTCTGATAATATACATCGCATTTCACTAGAGAATGGTAGGAAATATATGCAACAATTTAGTATCAAATATATTAAAAATAAAGACTTCTTAATTACAACATTGAATGATTTTGAAAGAGTTTTAAAAAAATTAAAATTTGAATTATCAAAATGGAAACTTAATCTTTACATTTAAATTGAAAATTTTTCAACAACATTATAAAAATATAACAAGTTTAAGACAATATTTTATTAAATGTATAGAAAGAAACATATGGAATAATTTTCGTTTTTTGATAGATTTTTAATATGTAGTAGATTTTTAATATGTAGTAAAACAGCATGAAATGCAAGACATGCAACGCATGTATCGAGATATTAGAAAAAAGTAATACGTAAAATGCGGAAAGGATTGATTCGTAAGAGAAAGCAAAGTATATATGTGGAAAAATGCATTTAACAAAATCTACTGTCTTTATTTTTTATTATTTGATAGATTGTATTTTATTTCATAAGATTAAACATGCTTAATATTCAACAACTTCACAAGATAAACTTTAGCATAAATATGAAATACAGCGTTCACATATTAAATAATTTTTTTAATTGAAAATTTAGAGAATTAGAACATAAAGTTATTAGATTCAGGCTCAAATAACTTCGAAATTCAAAAATTAAGAAAAAAGGGCTACTAGTCAAGCAATATTAAAATGAAAGTTGAAATTCTAGAACATTTTTAAAATTATAAAAATTAAATTATAGTTCGCTTTTACATATATATATATTCGCTCACAATTCTTATAGTTTATAATTGCAAATAGTGAATAAATCGTGATAGTAAAACAGTCATAAAAAAATCATGAAATGTCAAAATAACAATAATTTGCAAACAATGGTCCATTTCAATTTTATAACGTATTACATGACGTCATTACTTAATTCTAATATCCAGTTGCAGGAATTCATTGACATTGAAGATTGATAACTCTAAATATCTTATAACTAATTATTATTTACATTATGAAATTTGTGCACATCTTGCTTAGTTTGCTGACAATGAGTCAAAACATTTTCATAATTGCAAATGTTATGGAGTTACTTTCCTTTGACAGTCTGAAAATTATTATCATTTTGACATCTCATGATTTTTAATGACTGTTTTACTATCATAATTTATTGGCTGTTTGCGGCTATTAACATCCTACGAGAATTATGAACTAAAACTATGAAACTGTTCAAAATTTAAATAAATATATTTGTAAGAGCGAATTAATACTTTCTTATTTTTTGTAAGTTTAGTTATAGAATTTCAATCGCCATTTTAATATTACTTTTGTATTGCATCTAATAATTTAATTATCTTTTAACATTGAGAATGATGCGATTGAAATTGAAACATTTGTTGATTTTATAAATGTTCATTGTTTGATTATTAAGCATTAAACAACTTGTTTGGACTGTAGCCATTTCTTTTCTTAATTTTAGAGAATTAATTTTTTAACTGTAAGGTTAAATTTAAATAAATATTAAATAGATTTTATTTTAATTCTGCAACGATAAGTATATTATATATAGGGTGTCACAGACTTGCTAATTTAATGGAAAATTCCTAAGATCATTTCGAGACAAATATTTTAATACCAAAATGTCAAGGTTTGCCGTAGTTTTTAAATGAGAAAAAGGTTTTCAAAGTTAGTTAATTAAACTGTTTAAAATTTGCACATTCAAGCATGGTACATACATCGCACTGCAATAGTGAAGATGTTTTTAAACATTCAATTCTATATATTTTCTTCTATTATTTTAAACATTTCACTATTGTACAATGTGTCATGCCTGAGCGCGAAAATTTCGGGCAGCTTAATCGAATAACTTTAAAAACTCTTCTCATTTAAAAACTGTTATAGCTTTTACATTTGATATTAGAATATTCTCAAAATGAACTCAAGAATTTGCCATTAACGATTGCCACAGTAAGTCTAGAACACACTGCATATATATACATATATATATAATTTTATAAAGCTAGTTTAGCTTGAATTATATGCATTATATATTCCTCACTATTTTTCGCATAGTTTTATAATTCATATAATCAGCTTGCTGCTTACCAAGAATGTTCACTAAAAAAAAAGCGTCACAAAACTTAAAAGTCAGATAAAATATTTGAAATGAGGTGCAAGTGCCACGTTGGTATTGAAAATACAAGTCCAATGTTGACATTCAAAATACTAGTCCAATGTTGGATATGGAAAACATGTGTTCAAACGTAATATTTTTATATAAATTGAGTAAGTCAAAAACTACTATCTACTAAATTACATTAAATTAATTTATATTTATTGAATACGATAAAATAATTATAATTAAGAATATGATATTATATTAAAATATTACAAAGAATTAAGTTATAATATTTAAATAAATTAATGTTATATTATTTGCTTGTATCAAATAATTGCTCGAGAGTGAAAAATTTTTGTTGTGACAAATATAGTTTTTTCATCACTTAATATATCAATTTAGTAATTTAATGTAATAATATTATGATGATATGTTATAGTCAGATTGATATGTGATTGTATACATATAGACGTAAAAAACTGGTAGACACTGCGGTTCGTGCAATTTCACCGCGCCCACTAAAATTAGCGAAAGTCGCAAAATGGACTAACGATGCCCGAAAAGCTGCGACCCGTAACAAAACGCAGGTCCACACTTCCTATGAGTTATGCGAGTTACGTGTATTACGACTTGCATCTAGGACGGTGATAAATGTGGCAATCTTGGACACCGGGTCACCATTTCCCTTCCCTTTTTAGCCGACTTCTTAGTACTAAAAGTATTTTTTACTTAACAACGTATACATACAAATAACTTCCATTATTTAATAAAAAGTTAAACTCCGAGTGAAGATCAGTTTATATTTTTCTCGTTTTCTATTTTAATGATATTTTAATTTATGAGAACAGAAGTACATTTCATAATCAGAGAATTTTCATAAATCAATATTTAATTTTAGAATGTTCTATATATATCTCTAAATATCTTGAAAACTATTCCTGGAAAAATAAGAATAGAAATAGGAACAATATAAAAGCAATTACATTTTAAAATAGAAAAAATAGTACTTTTTATTTTCACAAAAATATTTTATACTTTTTAATATTATATTTAATTTTTAAGTTATGTGTACAAGATATTAGCTGTTCTTTTGTGTTATTTGAAGTATACTATATAAATATAAAGTATGTGTATAATTTCCCGAATATGCACATGGATGCAGAGCAGAGCTCCAGTTCGTCACTTCTGTGGTATTTTTCGACTCCAAACTTTCTCTGATGCGTAAGAACAGGTATATCTATATCTGCGTCTAAATATGAGTATGATATGCTCGAAACTGATTTTCCAATTTCTTGTTTTATAAACTAAATTTCTCTAATACATTCTAGTACTTGCTTTAGAGGAAACATCTAATTATTGATATTTAAAAAAAAATAGATTTTAAAAAAGCAATTTAACTATTGACAATCTTACAGTATAAACAATTGAATTCGGGCGATGTTGAAAATCAATGTGCTAAATCAAATAAATTTTTATTTGGTTTAGTTTTAGTACATTGATTTTCAACATCGCTCGAATTCAAATTTTTATGCTGTAAAATTGTCAACAGTTGTCAATAGAATAAAGCTATTGTTTTAAAATCAATTGATTTCAATAATAACAATTTTGGCGATTGAATTACTCATATTGAAAAATGATGTCTCTTAACACTAAAATAAAAAAATATATTTCTTCATATTTATATAGTTTATATAGTCCACAGATAAAATACTTATTATTTGATTTTGCATATTTCATTACACTTGCATTAAAACAATGTAATATAGAGTAGAAATGGAACCTTGCAGAATATTTAATCTTTCTGAATGGTAATTCCATTCTAATATAAACATCTCGCGTACTAACATGTAATGGATGATGGATCATTGTGAGAATTCGCTAAAACTCTTTCAAGTATGCGCATAATCAAGATTTGAATTATATTCCTAGGTAGCAAGCTGACATTATTTATCATTATCTTGATGTCAAAATGACGTCAACAGAATTCTTAATATCGTTTTAACTAACGCCCAAATGATGACAAATAAGCTTGCTACTTGAGTGGCTGTCTCCCTGTTGCATAAATTTTCTTGCTAAATTATCGGTTTGATTAAATATTATTTTTGATTAAATATTATTTTAATAAATATTATTTGATTAAATATTATTTTAATAAAAATATCGAAAGAAGTCATATTTTCTATGTAACGTTAGTCAATAGTTTTATGTAGGGCATTTAGTAAGAAAGAAATAACAGAAAGAAGTATCTCAATAGATAGTCTAACATTGTATAGCACATAGATATTTTGTTTTCTAAAGTCAAATTTTTATATTGTTTTAGAATTTTAGTTTATATGAGATTTAAAATAAATTAATTTTGTACATTTTTTAAGGCAATTTTTTAACATTTTCCTTAGACGATGCTTCTAACAATTTTATAAATAAACATTTAAAAAAACATTAGCAAAATCTATTAAAAAAGTAGGTCAGTGTTCTTAATGTTTTTAAAATTTAATGTTATTCTTTCTTGACAAATAAATTGTCCGGGAAATTATGCTTATATGCTTCGCGAATAAAATCGAGTGGTTAGGCGCGAGAGTAAAATCACGTGCTGCAATCCAGCGCCACGCGTTATGTAACTTCATTCATCGCGCAAGTAAGAGGCGCGATGATGTATTTCGCTTCGAGAATAATGTAGCTTTGTGATGGTGTCACGTTTGTTACAATACTATCTGTCGATGTTGCGATACAAGTATAGTAATAGAAAGTTCAATACATCAATGCATTGTACATACTTTGCTACATTATATTCGCACGAATAAACATACAATGAGATGTAGTTATCTTTGTAGTGAGTTTAAATGTTGCGTTCTTCCATGAGGCGCAGTTTTTTTTGTCTCCTTTATTTTTGTTTTTTAATTAATTATAATTCAGAGTCGTCCAAGGTCGGTGTTTTTTGAAATCGAAATGTATCAGTATTCACATATATTATCGTTCCTTACTTCATTGCTGTTTTGTCGTAGCGCGCGACACTCGGTCTCAGCGACGACACTAGTTTAAAATCGTTAAAAGTATTTGACCTGTGTCTTTCACTATGTTTAAAAGTATTCTGTTATTCATATTTTTATAGTTAAATATATTATGAATAATAATATCTTATTAGTAACAGAATACTTTTAAACATAGTGAAAGACACAGGTCAAAAACTTTTAATGATTTCAGACTAGTGTCATGAGATCGAGCATCGTGCATTACGACAAAACAGCAATGAAGTGAGGAGTAGGAAAGGTAATTCGCGTGAATACCGACATTCAATTTCCAGCCAAAAAACACTGACTTTGGACAGCTCTGAATTATATAACTATATATAACGTTTTTTTCGACGATCTTTAACTATCTAACGGGCGACTTAAAAATCTAGTTCCTAGTGAACTTTTTATCTTTAGTCTGAACAGAAAATTAGTCTTGCAAGTGGCTTTTGCAAATTGCTGAGACATCAAAATTTTAACTATTACAGAATTTTTTTCGTGATTAAAATAAATGATAATCAGAAAATACTAATTTTGACGAATTAATATAATGGCTTCATATTAATTTTGTTAACTTTTTAAAAGAATGTGAGATCCACATTTTTATCCTGATAGAAAAGAATATCTTATTAGCTTATTATGTATTTCGTTGGGTATAATTATCCCAGTAGCATATGTAGATTTTATATATGTTACTTAAAGGTTGTAAAACATTAGATACGTTTAGGAAACGTATATAAAATATATGAACCAATAAGCGCTATCTGAGTATTTGCTTGAATTCAATATTTGTTTGTTTCAAAAGTGAAGCTCAATTGCTCAGAAAATAATTAGGAATTCAGAAACAAAAAAAATTGGTTTAAATGTGGATCTAGAAATGCATTGTTTTTGAGTTATTTTTCTATTGAAATTCGAAATTGCTTTGTTTTTGAATATTTTTGTCAAAATTGATAGAAGAGATGAGGGGGGGGGGATTATAATTAAAGTCAAATAAAAGTTGCAAGCTGTTTTTAGCAGTACCCATCCACACAGCGATGTGGTCGGATTTCTGCTATGTCATCCTTGTTCGATAAACATCAAGAATGGAGTGATGTTTACCGAACTCGAGTAGGAATCTGAACCTAGCACAGCATGTAATTGCAGTGACATTATAATATTACAGCTTCCAATGCAATATTACAACTTTTAATACAATATTACGAAGATATTACTGAGATATTACATTGCAAAATATTAAAATGTAATATTGCGGTAATTTTACTGAGATATTACAATGTGATATCTCACACTGCAATATTACTGCAACACTGTATAAATATTACTATGTGATATATCACACTGCAATATCGTTGCAGCATCGTACAAATATTATTATGTGGTATACTGCACTGCAATTACCGTAACATCTTTCAAATATTATATGGCTGTGAGCAGTATGCAGCACTGCCGATAGATGGTGATGGAGTTCAATTTCTCCTAAGTAAGAATCAGACAGGATAGAAAAGTGTGTGCAGCATTATAAGATTTTTCACCCGTGATTTTCGGGTAATATCGCCTAAAGTAATTTTTTTAAACAGGTTGTCTAAAATAGGATTGATGAATGCGATTGTTTCCAATATACACTCTGTCATAGTATACAGGGCGTCCAAAAATTTTTTGCCATGCGCTCTTGTTTAGATAAAGCGAACTAAACTGAGTCGAAAAGTTCTGTATCATTTTACAATTTTCGCAATAGTTAAGGAGGTTCGCCTATTACTTTGGAGCTAAAAATACAACTGAAATAAATCAAGGGACATGATAGCGTCTTGCGCCAAGTGAACGCGTAGCGCGAGACCGCTTCGTGTCTTTATGCGAGTCGGCGAGTTGCGAGCATTCGAGATTATCGGTGTTTTAATAAAGACTGGACCGATCGACTTCTGAATATGAGCTCAATCGACAGTTTGGGTCCGAATTATATAATAAATGTTTATTTTACTTCTCTATGTCCTACGAACGGAGATATCGTGATGCGAAATAATCATGCGAAATCCAAAATGTCAAATTTTTATGTAAGATACGTCATCGCCTCAAAAAGTCATCTCCTTTTCATATTTTTGATGGTAAATGGCACTCATTTATTGCTACTCTCATTTACCGATTTACCATATGTTCATAGAGTGAAATATTGCAGTGAGATTACAATATTGTTGTAATATTACAACTTGCAATGCAATAATACGTAAATACTATTGCGATATTACGTTGTGATATATCAACGTAATATTATAGTAATTTTGTTGGGATATTACAATGTGATACATCATTCTGCAATATCGTCCAAATATTGCAGTGAGATATATTGCAATGCACTGTTATCGCAATATCATCCAAATATTGCAATATGATATATCGCATTGCAATATTTCTGCAACAGCGTTGAAATATTACAATGCATTTTATTGCAGTGCCATCTTTCTAAGATATGAATAATACTATGTTTTGATTTATTACTGAATAAATATTAAATATTAATATTAAATATAAAAAAATTAGGAATATCAGTATATTCATAGTTATAGTTCTTATTTCTAGATCGTTTTAAGTAATATCTTAAGATATTAATACTCAGAAATGCTTTATGAAATTTTATAAGGCTACATATGATGATTTTAAATAGAATAAGAATATCATGTCACGTGCAACACATGAGATTTTGCGTTGTCATGTAGCAAAATGACTCTGCGACAATTTCCCGTATCAAATACTCACAACGCTGTCAATACAGTTTATATGTTTCATTTAAATAATCTTTATAATTTTCTTCATATAATTTGTCTAACTCTAAACATTAATATTATCAACAATTTTAGAATATGTTGGTAAAATATTCTTAATGTTAACTTTATAACAATATCATTTGACAAACATATGGACTAGAAATGCACGTGATTACCCACCAAGCAAGAAATATTTCAGTAACATTTTGAAACGTTTCAGTAATATTGCAACGTTGCTGCAACGTTACTGAAGTGTTTCGAGACGTTTTTTGTTTACTGGATATATATGTGTATATATATATATAATATATAATATTATATATTTTATGTACATACATATATATAGAAGATATAGAGAAAATAAAGTTCATAATTATACTTCTTTTACATAAGTATTATTTTGTTGCAATATGATTTCAAAATCCTAATAAGAAGAGGGAAAACAATTTTATTCAACATGATCGCTCCATCAAATTAAATAATATTAATATTTCTATCATATGTAAATAACATCAAATTAAAAAAATTTGAATTTGAACTTGAAGTTGAAACAAATACTTTCTTTAAGTAAAAATAAATTCTACTGTTATCCATATTCTTATAATTTTGTTTTAATACTAATGTTGAAATAGGTATATAGTATTCTTTAAGTAGGACAAAGCAATTTATTTAGTGTTACTGAAATAAACTTTTGTTTGAAAATAGAAATTTATTTTTTATTTTGTAAGAAGAACCTTCTTTTTATTTTTTATTAATGAAAAATAAAATATTTCATTGATTTAAACATATATATAGCTTTAAATGGTCTTGGATGACGATCGAGAAATTAAAACGAATAAATTGAATAATTACAAAATAAAAAACTGGTTATTGCTAATTATTTTTTTATTCGCTACTGATGAATTGAATAATAGTCTCGATATAAAAGAATATTTATAAATATGAATCAGATAAGCGCAAGATACAAGTTAATTCCCAGCTCCTTTATCTATATCCCCTCTTCTGCTACTACATAGTCATTAAAAATTATGATTTAATTGTCTCCTCCTTTTCTTTTACTTCAAATTGCTCGATCAAACGATAATCATGCTCACTCGGAAAACTGTATAGAAGCAATAACATTTTCATTCTACGCATGTGCTAAAAATTAAAATGAGTATTGAGAGGACGTTTGAAAAAGAGGGAGTTTGCAATATATAAAAGCTCGATCTACACTTTAGTTTATGTATACTCTTGATTCACTTTTGTTGTACATTCGTTCAGATCGTTTTGATGCGGTTTTGTGTGTTAGTCTGTAAGAAAATCTTTGTTTGAAAAATGTTTGCTGCATTCTTTGCTTTTGTGCTCGTGACAGTATATGCTGCAGAGGAAATACGTGAGTAAATAATAATATTTGTGATACATTTATTTCTATCACGACGTACGTATTAATATTAATTTTCTATCAAAGGATGAAAGAAATACACTTAATATTTTAAATTTATTATTTAAACTTAATATTTAAAATTATATTATTTTGTAAGTTCGCATAGCCTTTTTAGAGGTTTTAGGTAACTTAGCAATTTGGCAAATGTTAAAGATTAATAAATAACTATATACATAATTTTCTTTAAAGAAGAATTTAATATTAATTAAACAACAAATAAGAAAATGAGTTATATTTTTTTATCACGCAAATGTTCCATTATACATTTTATATCTTTTGCCTAGAATATGCAATCCTCAAGTAAAAAATCAGTCTTAAAGTTTTATGCCGTTTATAAGCTATAATAAGCCACTGGAATAAAAATATATAATGAAATATAATAACAATTTTTTTAAATGTTACAAAATAATTTATTGTAAATATTAAACCCATTTTAGATGATCTATAATTCAAACTAGGAACAGAATTTTATTTATAATTCTGCGTGTTGTGTAATATAAAAAATATTTGAAGAAGTAAAATTCACACATACAAAACATAAGTCAGATATATTATACATAAGATATACATATTTATATTTAGGATGAGTGACATAAAATTATAAATAGAATTTTATTTTGAATTTGATCGCGAATTATGGATCGTCTAAAGTGGACTTTAAAGACAAATTGCGTTTCCGAGCAGTTATTTATTCAAGATGTTCAAAAGTAATGATAAATCTTTCGCATAGGGAGAAGAATTTAAGAATTTTTTCAGAATTTTTTGATATCGTATTTTCTCATGTTGGTAAAAATAAGAAAATGCAGTACTAAAAAGTTGACGAAAAATTCTGAAAAAACTCTTAGAACTCTATCAAAAAAAAATAAACAATTTTTGTCTCTTGCAGTTTTTCTGTAAAGTTAATAGTATTTGAGTAAAAAATTATTGAAAATCAATTTTCGACAATTTTTAGTAATTAATATTTTGTTAACTATGGCGAAAATTGTAAAATGGTAGAGGACTTTTCTTCTCAGTTTAGTTCATTCTGTTCTGGGCGAAAGATTTATGGTTACTTTTGGAACACCCTGTATATTTCAATTGCATTATAAAAAATATGTACGTATTATCTCTATTTTGAAATAAACCTTGTACAATATTTCAACTTATTTCAGTTGTATTTCACTTAGATAATTTAACATAAAGTTGTAAATTAAATAATGTAAAGTTTGTTCTTTCTTCGTTCTTCTATTATACTATTATATTAAACACTTTTATAAAATTTAACTCTTTATAGCCTCCTACATTCACGTGTGTGGCCGCAATGATCCCAATTATAATCAATGCGTCGTGGACAACATCAATAATATAAAAAATAAAATTTGTACGGGAATGCCGGAACTTAACGTTGTTCCAATGGAGCCAATAAATATTGACGAAATAGTTATTTATAACACAGACAATCTTAAATTAAGTATCAAAGAATCGAAAACAAGTGGATTTTGTGATTTCGTCATAAACTCTTCAAAAATATTCCCTGATAAGTTTCATTTCGACATCGATTTTGTATTCAAACATCTTGATATGGACGCTAGATACGATGTCGACATGCGTATATTGGTACCACTTACTAATAAGGGATTGATTCACATTTCTACAGGTATATAGAACAGTCAATATTATATTAAAATAAGACAAAAGTTTATTTAGGGCTATTTACTTTAATACAAAAAATTCAAAATTTATTTTTATTACATAAAAATTATTAAACTATGTTTTTTCCGCAGATAACTTAGAAGCGAAAATGATTTTGGACTGTAAACAGGAAATCAAGAACGGTAAAACGGAAATATACGCATCAAAAGTAAAAACTATTTTCAATATTAAAACGTTCAAATATAAGTTTGATGACAGCGAGAAGGATTTGGTTCAACTACATGAAGCTCTTACTAATATTGTAACCGAAAACGAAAAAGATATTATCAGTAAAGTTAAGCCGGTAATAGAGGAGGCGATCTCCAAATTGATCATTACAGTTTTTAACAAAGTAGTCCGTAACAGATTTGAGCAACTGTTTCCCAACGAAGCATAATACGAGATTTATTGTCACAAAGAAAGAGTCACTATATGCATCTATAATACGTCCGATTCAAAAAAATAATGAAAGTATATTATAATATATTTCCATTATTAATAATATTTAAAAAATTAGTGACATATTTCGCTTGAGTTGAATAATAAATGCAATTATTTAGTCGTTCATCGATAGATTGTTGATGCATAGCACAGATTTGTATTGAAAAGTAGTTAGTTAAATAAAAATATTAAACTGTGTTATCTGATATGTAATAGTTACAAAATTATCAAAGAATATTCATTAAGATTGTGATATTATATGTTATTATATATATAAAAGCATATCTTTAAAAAAAATACTTGAAGTCACTCTCTTACTTAAGTTTCCATAAATTTATAATTTATATTGTTTGTATTATATTAGTATTTACTACGGAAAGAAATTTAAAATTGTTTCTTATTTTTACTTATTAAATGAATGTATTACAAATTTTTTACATTATTTGAAATAATACATAAATATTTTAAATCAAATTTCTCTGAATAAAACCTTAATTTTTATCATTTATTGATTGTTATAAAATTTGCGATTATTATGAATACTTCTTCAAAAAATCTTGGAATAAGATTATGAATTTAGAACGAACGACTAGAGGAAGGAAAAGATCACGAAATTGATGCAAATAACGAATCCTATGTATGTTTTAAAAACCGGCTTATCCAGTGTTCGTTTATTTTAAATATTACCTAGTTTTAAATTTATCGTGCCCTTGTAAAATGAAAATTAGTTCCCCTCTGGAATGCTCTCCCACTTATATTGCCTATATGATTATGTGATCAAGTACAAAGTGTGAAAGCGAATGAAACAGAAGGATAAAAGTGATTTTTATTCTACGCATGTGCACCAGAATAAGAGTGAGGGGAAAATATTAAAAATAAAAAGATTTTACAGTATATAGAACTTCGATCGGCTTGCGTGAAACTTTATTCGCAGTAGATATGTTAAGATCATTCTCATATAGTTTTAGAGCTACCTTATAGAAAAATGTCTGCAGTACTCTTCGTTTTTATGCTTTTGATAGCGTACATTATAGCGTATCTACGTAAGTAAAAAAACCATTTGTTACATATTTATATCACAGCATACGTATAATTTTTATTATGCAATTTTTTATTATATGCCCGGGAAAACATGATTAATATATAATTATGTATAATTACACAAAAAATTTTATAAAGTTTTATATATAATTATTTGTAAAATTAACATATTTTATGTACAATTATATATAATTATGTATAAAATATATCCATATATATAACATTTCTTCCTGGGTGACTATTAAAAATTTGTCATATCTGCATGAAGTTTAAAAATCGGGTCGTGACATAATATCGGATTAATTATGACATAATAAATGTAACATTATTTTTTTAAATAAACATAAAATAACAATAAGAGCTACGAGCTAAATTATGATATATTTGAATATTAAACAAACATTTTGACCTTTTTATCAGTATTTACAATGTTTAAAAAGCAGTATTTACAATGTTTAAAAAGCAAAAATTAAGTTTCAGTAACAGTTACAATTTTAATTTCATCCTCTTAAATTGCAAAACTAACAACATGAGAACTATGGCAATTTTTTTTTATGGGTTCAGTATCCAATGGAAAACCACGCACGTATACGTGAAGCGCGGGCGGAATCGAACCCGGATCCGCGGATTGTGAATCCACGGATGTGGATTGTGAATCGACCCGACGTCTCAAAATTATCTTTTTAATTAGAAAATTTATCTTGATAAATAACAAAAATTCTAATTGTAATTTATTAATGCTAATTATATAACGATAATTTCATACACAATGATAATAGTATTATGTATTTGCATTGTGGTATCTTAAAAATTATGATAACACTATAGCAACATATAACTAAAAAAAAATTGAATTAAAAAATACTGCGTTTCAATAGTCTTCGCACATTTAAATAAGATGATGATAGCAACTATCAACTTTGATAAAAGCTTTTTTTCATTGAACATTTATCTGTAATTTGATATTACACCTCATATACTTGGTTTACTGTGAATATACAATAGTAAACGCGTATTCATTTTACATAATTTTAGAAAAATAAAGTATACTAAAAAATGTGAACTAAAAAATAGAAATATTGCATAAAAATTTTATGTGTGATGGTTATGAAGGTTTTTATTATCTTAAACAATATTAAGTGAAAATCAACCAAGAAATATTTAATCATAAATAAGAGAAGAATGCCAAAGGCATTTTCGGTCAAAGCGGGTTTTCCTATTCCTATGTGAGTATATAAATGCAGTTATCAGTTTTATAGACTGTGCGCAATTAAGTTAATTGATCTTCGATTTAATGATAATATTACACTATAGCATCTTAAAAACCTGCAATAACCTATCGCAAAAAATATCATTTCAGCTACTTAAGAGTATGTTAACAGAGCATTATCATTAAATAGACGATTAATTTAATTGTGAGATTATTTTTTCAGTTTGTGATTGTGTTTCAAGTCTGATTAATCAAATCGGTGCATATAGAACTGATAATTGTATTTGTATATTCACATGCGAATATTATTAAGCACAAAAACTTGATCGAAGACATTCTTCTCTGATTTGATTTTTATTACTTTAGTTATTAATGGCTTTATAACTTCTAACTTATCATTAAGTGCAAGAGTTTTGATTAAAAGTCATATAAAATTAGTCGAAATAATTGATGTTTAATTACTTTAAAATTGACTCACAAATTTTAGCGTATAAATTTTCAACGTCAATGTTTAACTTTAATCATTTATTGAGGGAAAGTGAAGGAAGTGGGGGAATTTTGAGCACTTAAGGGGAATTTATTGCTGTGATGTGATTTTTGACATTATAAAGTCAGAATTATAAATACTATTTTATATTATTTATTTTTATATTATTTATATACTATTTAATACGATTTTTGACGTTATAAAGTCATTATAAATACAGAAATACAAACTATAACATTCTTCTATCGATATGCATGAACAATTTTTCATTTGATAATATTGTATTTGATAAAAAGTAGAAAAAGCAAAAACGAAAAAATTTTTCGCGTGTCGGGTAATAGTGCGCAAAACAAAAATCGTAAGAAATTAATAAAATTAATAAAATAAATATATTTCATGGAAAATGTTTCATGGAATGTTGATAAGAAAATGAAAAAATATATTATTAGACCTATGTTAATACAAAATTAATATAAATTTTGAAAAAATAATACAAAAATTGGAAAAATTATTTATTTAAACAAAAATAGTATGTAATTCTCAGCGTCATCAGCTCCACTGCATTCTTCATGGACCCATTCAGAACATAAGCAACATTGAAACTACTCAGTCGACTAAAAGTAACATAATGTCGATGTTATAATTTCGCATCCTACAATGTAACTACTGAGGAACACACAAAAGTCAACAAAAAATTTAAATGACTTCAAAATGACTTTATTTTGATACTCAAAGTCAATAAACAGTCAAATTTTGTAATAAAACAATTATTATAATTATTTTGATATCAAAATACGTCATTTTGACTTTCTCTCGACTTGATGTGTTCCTTGGACTGTTATGTAACATCATGTGTTATATTACATTTATATTGTGGAATACGAAATTACAACATTGATATCATGTTACTTTTGGTTTGTCGACTGGGCAAAGTTCCATATCTTCCAAATTCTTCGCATATAGTGCACTTTTCGTTGGGAGGAAACTTTGAATTGTCAATGCACGCAATTTTCCACCGTGAATTAATTTGATAAGAAAAACGATTACTCATAGACTTTTTAAATTAATTCAATGAATAATAGCTCAAAAAACATATAATAAAGTATTTTAGTAAGATATGCGATTAAATAAACAAAATAAAAATATAGACTTATCATCTTATTTTCTGGATGCGAAATTTACTTATATGAAAGTATGTAACTTCACTTTTTTTCACTTTTGCTGTTAACTACACTTTCGAATTATATAACTTATGGTTATATTTGAAAAGAATTACACGTTTAGTCCAGAAATTTTTTCGCGGTAGCGGCTCCATGTATCGGAAAAGTGCTAAACCAAAATGCGCACAATTACCCGCTGCGCATAATTACTCAACTTTCCCCTAATTACGAATCTAAAAATTTTACAAATTTACATTTAAAATTATATTCTCCCTCTTGCTCCAATTACGTTAAAACTTTAATAAAATTTATGAAACGTTGGTTTAATTTTACGAGTAACTAATGTAGGTATATTATAAATTTTGTGTAATTTAATATAATAAATGTTACTCTTATTAAAAATGTATTATGCATACAATTGTGTTAATAATACAATATGTTTAAATATTACAAATTTTACTAGACATTCGTTACGGATATATCAATATGTGTAATGTCCGCTCATGTATCAATATATTTTTGTCGTATTGCGAAAAATGCATAATGTTCTGAAATATAACTTGTCCCATATATATAGAAACTTGAATAGATAATCTTACTAACAATTTCCAGATATAAGAAACATAATATACATTTTTTTTATAGCTCCCTACATTCATTCGTGTGGTTGCAAAGATCCAAACTACAATCAGTGCATTAGTAACAACATTGACGATATAAAAGATAAGATCTGCACAGGAATGCAATTCTACCATTAGAGCCATTAATTATAAACAATCTATCTATTTTTAACGCTGACAATTTTAACACTAGTATGAGAGATACGAAATTATATGGATTTTGTGATTTTGTCGTAAACTCTGTTTACACAAATCCTGATAGGAGCCATTTCAATCTTGATTTAAATTTCAAGCACCTTTATTTGAACGGTACATATGACTTTGGGTTACGACTACTGATGCAAATTAATCACAAGGGAATGATTCAAATTACTCTAGATAAGTAAAATAATCAACGTAAACTTTATATAAAAATAAAATGTGAATACATAATGAAACTTAATTTAAAATAAGAGATTAAAAACTTATATAATTTTTTATAATTAAATATTAAAATTATCAAACTTATTGTAGATAATGTAAATATAAAAGTAAAATTAGACTTGAAAATGATAACTAAGAACGGCAACAAATACATATATGTATCGAAATTAAGCGTAAATCTCGACATCAGGGACTTTAACTACAAGATTGATGAGAGCAGAAAGGAACTAGCTAATTTTTATGAAATAATGAAAAATATCATAAATACCAATAAAAAGGACTTTGTGAGGCAAGTTAAATCACCTATAGAAAAAGAGATCTCCGAAAATATTATTTCAATTTTGAACGATGTATTTCGACGTACTAGTTATGAAGAGCTATTTCCCGAAAAAACAAGAATTGTCTAGAATTTTATGATTTAATCAGTTTGTTTTTTGCAAGAATTTTTGTCATAAATTTTGTCGCAATATTGTAAAATTTGAGTTGGATAATGAAAGAAAACAATTATTATTGATATTAAGGAACAATGCACATTAGTATAGCTTTTAATAGTTTATATAATCTATATAAGAGAGACCGCAGTTATTGGCACAAGTTAGGCATTTCATTTATATATTTTTGATGAAAGAATGTAAAAATTTCCATTCCTTCTGCTGCAAAATATCTCTTTTATAACATTGATACTTTTCCCTATGTTCTATTTAAATTAAATAATTATTACAATAAGAAAAAGGAAAATCTGATTCAAGAAAAGGCAAATAAATTTCAGAGTATTTCAAAATTTCGTATTAATATCCTTCAGTTTGAGAGAGTAAAGGTGAACGCACATAGTAGTAGAAGTAAGCAGTAAGCAGTAAAACATAAGACCGCTATCTTTCATATGTATAGATATATTGGTAATGTTAATTGCCTACTTCGTACGTTTTATTACTTACTGCTTACTGCTTGCTGCTTACTTCTACTTCCATGTGCGTTCACCTTTAATCTAACAAGAAAAGTTTCACAACTGTCCGGAACCGATTTGATTCTCCATGAAATATGTTGTTAAACACGAAAATCTAAGAGACACGTATTTAATAACATATTTCATGGAGAATCAAATCGGTTCCGGACAGTTGTAAAACTTCCTTTGTAAGTGACGATTATTAGTTAGAAGAAAAGTTTTTGTTACTAAACATGGATAATTTTAGTAATAATAGTAATTTGTTATGATAAACAAAATAATTGAACGTATAGAGATGGAGAGGTATTGTACATTAAAATAACTTTAAGATACAATTTGTATTAAGAAATACATATCTGTGATACCTATCTGTTTTTTATTTCTATTACATTTTTATTAATGTAAAGAAGTTATCGTATGAGCAACTTACACCGTGATATATATATTAATTTACTTTACTGTTAAGATAAACTGGTTACAATGCATGTTCGGTTCACTTAATACAAAGAAATTATATAGTATATAGAATCGTTCCTAGCATGATAATGCAGAGAAAGATTTTCTTTATCATATTCAGTAGATACAGTTTAAACATAATAATTAGTTGTTTAAAAAGTCAAATGTCGAAATTGTAGAAATTTGCTAAAAAGCTCTGGTCTCTCTCCTATATTTTTAATATATGTTTACTACATATTCTTTATATAATTTTAAACATGTTTGTTGAAATAAGAATTTTAAACTGAAATAGATAATGTAAAATTATCAGGAAATAAATGTTTAAATAAAGATTGTAATACGTATAATAGATATATATTTATCTTATTTGTAATTCTATTTGCAACTAATAAAATCCCAAAATTTTATTTACAAAAATCAATTAAATTATCTGTTAAACACACACTTAATAACGTACTTTTTTTGAAAAGATTAAACAGATACAAAATTCTTTAGAAAAAAGACAAAAAAAAATAAAAGTCGAAAACGTTTTATAAAAAAGCATTTAAAAAAATTTTAGATTTAGGAAATAAGCAAGCGTCTCAATATGTATGTACCACGGATCCAAAATTCTGTCAGATAATCGAAAATTTATTTATTTTATGTCACATGCAAAATGGTAAAGGACTTTTCGACTCAGTTTAGTTCGCTCTGCCAGCACACGAAATACTTGATGGTCATTCTAGGATATCCTGTATATATGAAGAACAGACTTTCACACAAAATGAGTTTTATCCAAATATTATTTTTTGAGTTAGAGATGACGTAGTGTTCATTGTTGAAAGATTCAATATAAGCTTCTCTGGAATGTTTAAAAAGCATTTTTTTATCGTTAGCATTAATTTATAAGCGCATGATGTATCGTTATATCCTTCTTTATTAATTGATAAGATGCATCATGCACTTCATGCATAACTCGGAACGCATCCATAGTACGATTAGTGACAAAGGTAATGTTAATTAAATATATAAGAAAAGCCCGCTCACCTCGTTTAAAGGTAATTATATACACTGTTAAATCTATAGTGTCAAATTTAACGCGGAGTCGCCACTGCTCCTACTAAATATATCAAAATTATTTTTTACTAAAACGATAGTTAAATTTAACACTATATTGTGTAATTTGACACTATATAGTGTTAGATTGACACCGTATAGAGTCAAATATAACCACTGTTTTAGTATAAAATAACGAAATGATTAAGTAGGAGCAATGGCGACTCACGTTAAGTTAAATTTGATACTATAGATTTAACAGTGTAACATTAGTGTTTCAACAAAATGTATTTTCTGTTTATAATTGGCGCAATTTAAAGATTTCACATATTTTTTGAAAAAAATTATTATTATATATTTTCATAGTGTGGGGAAAATAGGTTTGGAATAGGTTTGGAATAGGAAGTCACTTTTTTTTCAAGGAGCGCACATTCAAGCGCGTATTTATAAACCCTAAGGTATTTACGAGAGATCTAAATGTAGTAGATTCAACATCAGTTCTTTCAGTTTATCAGTTCTATATAATTTTAGTTGCGATAATATCGCGTTTATCAAATACGTAGATTCAACATTTAACAGGTCCATATAATTTTAGTTGCGGTAATATTGCGTTTATTAAATATGATTTTAATCGGTTGAAAAATAACGTTAGAAAACCGAATACATTTAGTATATGACAACGTATCTATCAGCCGGACATCACAACTAGAATTATACGGATTTAGACCTCCCGATAAATACCTGAACGTATAATATAATTTAAATGTATAATATACCATCTTGTGTTTATTGGGATAGACATACGCGAAACATTTTCACTACATATACATATATGTGTCATTAAAATATAAATGAGGGTTTATAAAGCATTCTACATTACATGTAAAATTGATCGGTTTATGTTAATGATACTTGACATTTGCAGCACGTGCATATTATTTATAGACGTAATAGACATAAACTGTACATTCCTTGACATTAACTTCATTAGAAAGAAAATGCAACTATTGAATCATATCAGTATCTCTTTTCAACTCATGAGTTGAAAGAGAAAGAAAGAGGGGAAGAGTGGGGGGGGGGGGGGGGGGGGG